AAGTCGATAAGATTTCGCAGCCGGAAAAACTGATTAACAAAATGTGGTATGCAAGGTCAGTATTGTGACACATGCTGTTCCCATTGCGCTAAAATCACCTGCTAAAAATAAATATGAGGTGCACGCTTCTATGTGCCTATTAAGGTCCATATTATATAAATTTGACAAAAATATAGGTACTTTCGATTATTGACAATCCTTTGAATATCTTGCACAGGGAAATGGAAATGTCGACTTATTTCTCACAGTGTGCGTCCTTCTCTCTTGCCTGCTTCACTAGTTAAGCGCTCTTCAAAACAAAGGGTATTACACTTCTATTTAAGAGGCAACGACGTTTAAATACCCTTTCGCTTAAGGTTTTACAAATTCTGAAAACTGTCTAAGCTTAATTAAAGCAAAAGCCAACAAATTTAGCTGGTAGATCACCGATGGGCCCCTCTAAAGATCAACCCACAAATATATTGCCTACGCCTTTTGAGGGCGTAGAAAATCTGAAAGATCAGTATCTCTTCATATGCAAATATATAGATGCATGTATTTGGCGACGAATGAGCTTTAAGCTGTTATTGGACTGTGAACCAAGATTGGCAATCACTTTTTGTTAAATAATAATATACATTATTTTATATATAATATATATAATTATATAATGATCTGTTCACATCAAATATTTTTCTAAAATGTTGTAATATTTCTATCAAACATTTGCTGAATTTATTAAATTTATTCTGTCTTACATATTAAGCATTATTAAACAAAAGTAAAAGAATAAAAAACAAATTAAGTGCTGCCTAGCTCTAGATTAGGGGTATTCCACTTTAAGTGTTTCGTTTATCGCCCATTCAGAGAATAAATTACTTGCATACAATTTGCAACTTTTTATCATATTTTAAAAATCGAAATAACTGTCAAAGCTTTAATTAGAGCATGACATATATAAGTCTTATCTTATTGCTGAGAATAACAGTTAGGGCCCCCCTCCCACCACCTTTATAGCCATTATCACCCACTTTGCTCTGCATAAGCATGACAAACGTGGCTGCAAAACTGTCATACCCGCTGCGGCGGCGAGTGCATGCTGATAATGCTAAAGATAAAGCCAATGAACGCTATCGCACGCACTCAGCTTTAACTGTCTGCAGACACAAGAGATGCATTGTTGTTGTTGTTGTTGCTGCTGCTGCTATTAATTGCTGTTAATGTACAATGGGTACATGGGGAGTAAATACATTGTACACATGCGAGTCGCTGCTCTCGTGTACTTTATGAGACGGCGACGCGACGGCAGCAGAATTGAAGTCAAAGCAAACCAGCCATAGAGCAAGAGCTCCGCTCTGACCTTATATTTACAGACACAGACACACACACACACACACACGCACAAGCATGCACAGAGAGAGGGGCACACACACACGCATGCACAAAGCACTGACAACTAATAATCAAGAAGCAGTTAAATGTTAAACAAGTGGAAAAAAAAGAAGTAGGTCCACACTGAATGATGCTGCAAATAAAGCTCAGCTGTGCTTGTCTCTTTTGCGCTCTCTCGCTCGCTCACTTCAAATTCGCTTTTTGAGGTTAACATAGCAACAACAGCAACAAGCAATTTGCGCTGCAAATGTACAGCACAAAACAAAACTAAAGAAACCGAAAAGGCAAAGAATCAGCCTCAACCTCAAAAACAGCTGTTGACCGAACTACAAAAAAAAAACATACATATAATACGAACATATGTGCACATATGTATGTACATATATATGTAAAAATCTACTTAATTTGAATGCTGTGCATTTGCAAATCTTAAATTGGAAAAAAAACTAACCAAAGTTGAATCATGTTTTTGGCATGCAAATTGATGGTTCGAACTTGGATGGCTCTTGAAAAATATATCCAATATCCCGATAGTTATCAGAACTGATGAATTAGCTAAATGTTACTAAGGCTCATTAAGTTCATTTAACTATTTTATTAAGCAACCTTGCAAAGAGTATTAAAAGCATTCTCACTTTTCTTATGATATTTAAGCAGAGCTTAGATCATTTCAAATCCCGTTTTCTGCCTATTTTATTAGCAATGCATTTTCAATCATTAGTAATGTTTTATATTATGCAAATGTTGAAAATGTTTCATTTTAAGCGGTTCGTTCAACTTTTGAAATTCCTCATTTGATGCTGGTTTATAATTTAAATAAAGTTTTACTCTCATTTAAAAGTTCGCTTCCTGTTTTGCAAGTTCCTTTTATTTTGCCTTTTTTTATTTCGAGCCTACAATGTTTAAATTTCTATTTATATTCGTTTTAAGTTAATTTTATGAAATTATAATTGAATTATTTTTGTCAATCATTAATAAATGTTCATGTTCTTTATGACTTTTGAACTGGTTCCTTTTGAACAAAACCCAGTTTGACTAATCCGAAATCCAGTTCCAACACATTTCGTTTAAATGTTATTCTGGTTATTTTAATACATTTTATGATTTAGCTATATTTTATGATATGCTGATTTAAACATGTTTTGTGGAAATTTTGCAACACGTGATTTGTATTTTAGTTTTTAATTAAAGTTTCTGCTATTTCCTTGTCTTTGCTAGACAATTTGGGTTCTTTAGTCTTTTTCGAATTTTCCAAAAACATTTGATCTCATCGATTACAATTATTTAATTCAAATACATTTGTCAGATTTTAACTTTTTTACTTTTTAGTCGGTTTATTTCATGGCTAATTTTAACTGCTTTTTTTTAATAATTCCTTATGAAATTGTTGTAACTAAAACATTTCCTGTATTGTTTTATTTCTTGCCCATTACAAATCACTCGTTAAACCTTTAATATTTGCGTTCTTATTAAAAGTACTTCATTTTTGTTCGGCCTGACTCAAACTGACAAAGCTCATCAATAAAGCACAGCTCACACGTAGCGTACTTCACGAAATACGTATTCTTGTGACTTTAGCTCAAAGTGGCACTTGGACTTCGTGTGCGCATACATCAAGCATGCATACATATATCTATGCATACATGCATGCGTACATGCTTGCATGCATGTATGTGTGCACATATACTTACCACATAAGTACGATATTATGTGTTTTGGCTTTTATTTTTGGAATAAACATAAACAACCAGCAAGAACAACAACAACAACAAGAGCAACAACAACATTGCCAACGAACTAGAAAAAGTGTTCGCAGAGCGAGAAAAACCAGTTACATGTGCTAGAACAAGTTGCACACATTGGCGTTCGAGATCGGAGCTGGTTGACTCAATATGGAGCAGCAGTTGCTTTGGGGCTGCAAAAACACCTTGCAAAATATATATATATATAAAAGCACAAAATTCAGCCCAGGCACGCGGCTATTTTGGGACACACACACACGCACAACAATTAAATCGCTTCCTGACGTCTTCAGCCCCATAAATGACACATTTTCGGAGCCAGAGCCGAGCCCAAGTCAGGAAGTCTAAAAATGAACAAAACCGGTGCGAGTCGAGCCTTTCTGTTGCTCTCTGCGACGGTGATTGAACGCTCTCAAGGATAACTGACAGCACATGCAGATGCGAAAGTACACCATGCATACATACACACGCATATGTACACAGTGAGAGAGAGAGAGAGATCGACAAAGAGAGGGGTGGGGGCGGGGGGAGGCAGGCAATATCTGCCCCGTCGAGTTGACGCACTTGACAATGGCGGAAGCGTTTAACAAAACCGAACGCAACGTGATTTCAGCTGTTGAATTTTTGACTGTCATTAACATGTTAACACAAGCAGCCGAAAATCACACAACGTGGCCCAAATACGAATCAAAGTGATTAAACAAAAGATAATAATAATAATAATAAGCTAGCTAAAAACAGAAGAAAAAAGGAGAATGATATTTTGTAGTCGTGTGTCTTGTTTGTGTCTCCAACTGATAGCGATAAGATAACGCAAACGAAAACAGCGCAAGTGAATCAATGCAAAATGTAACGGAACACTAAAAAAAACACACACACACATGGACGAAAGCAACACATAGAAACATACAAAAAAGATTCCCTGAAATGTGCTTTACATTTCTGTGCATTTTATGACGTCAGTAAATTACTTTGATGCGCGCTTCCTAACAGTGACCTGTAGTGTGGGGAGCTGTTACTAACACTCTTATGTTAAATGACTGCAGCCAATGTAAAGAGTAATTATCAAAGCGTAAGACCTATTACATATAACAAAAGTTGTACTCATAACTTAAAATCTTAAGCAATTTATCGACCATGAACGAAATAATTATATCAATTATATTTAAAGTTGTGCCGAGAATAAATGCACTATATGGAAAAATTAAAAATCTGGAATAATGTAACTGTGCTACAGTTATCAAAAATATCGCTCAAGCTAACATAATTCTAACATTAGCATCGAGTTTATAGTTTGCAAAGATTTTCGTGTCAAAAATAGCAGAAATATAAATAAAAAGGGTATTACAAATAAAAAGCATAAAATTACAGACAAACAAGCACACACACACACACCTACACGTCGTTGCAGGGCAAATGAAGCCAAATGCAACAGCGCAATTTGCAGTGTTCCAATGTCAAGCCAAAGCAGTCAAAGCTTAAGAACTTTATTATGCAAAAAGCGTGCCACAGTCGCAGGGAGCTTGAAATGTACGCCCACAAACAAACAAACAAACAAACGCTATGTGTATATACATTCATGTGTGTGTGTGTGTGTGCACATTTGTATTTGTTATTGTTTTGGCGCTGTTGCCGAGCAAACCACTCTCTCTCTCTCTCTGCCTCTCTCTTTCTCATAGCTCGATTGCGCGCGTATGTGTGTGTGTGGTGTGTTTGTGTGTAGAATTTTATTGATTAGTCACAAGGCTGGCAGCACTGCAGCAGCAGCAGCAGCTGAGTTGTGCTGTGCTGTGATTTTTACTTGCAAGTCGCAGTCGCAGGCAGCCGCCCACGCATCAGCAGCAGGGGCAGAATTAGCAATTGCAGAGCAGGTAGGTAGGTACTCACCATCAATATGGGCAGGTTATTATCGCGTGCAGCATTGAATACGATGAATTTGTCATCCATTTTAGAAATGTGTTTGCTGGGCGACGCACTTTTGCATAAATAACAACTTTGAAAACCTCACTCAAAATTTTGTGCTCCTTTTGAATTGATATGTTTAGCAAATGAGCCAAAAATTATACAAATTATTTTATTTTTTAATAAATTTTCTGCCACTGCTTTCGTCGTTTTGGTTGCGAGATTGAGATTTTTCACTGCCTGCTGTGGATGTTGTTGTTATTGCTTATGTGAATTGCTAGTAATTTATTTTTATGTATGTATGTGTGTATGTATATTTTTCTCACACAAAGAACTTGCAACCGAAAATAAATATACAATTCTTTCAATAATTGCACAATTATCGTCAGTCCACGTTATTGTTGCGTTTTTATTGCTCTGCTTCCGTATTTTGTTGCATTTTTTTTCTTTTTGCGCTCTCTTCTTCTGTGGCAGCGGCAGCGACGGCGACGGCGGCGACGGCGGCGGCGGCGGCGGCGGCCAAAAGCAGGAAGACAAATTTCTTTGTACTATTTCTCTTTTGTTGTGTCGCTTCTTGTGCGCGGCGCATTGAATATCTGCTGCACTTAATTATATCGCGCCAATCTTCTGCCGTTACCACTCTGTGCCAGCTAGGTTTCTTGCGTTTTAAGATTCTTAAATATGATTTAATTAAAACACACAATCGTCAGCGGCACAGTCGCGCGACGTCACGCACGAACAAGAAAAATATCACTGAAAAAAACGCTGTTAAATTTTTCTTATAAGAGTGATCGAATAACAGCATAGAGATGGGCACGTGAGCAAAATGACAACACATGTATGCTCACGAAACAAGCTGTTAAGGAATATAGCCGCTTTGCCTTTTCTAGCAATCTGCCTAAATCAATTATTCTTCAGTATATATGACATAGATAACATTATTTATGTATCTTATATAATAATTACCAGAACGACTTTAGTCATTAAAATAAATAATCGAAATCTTAAGGAGTTCGTGATATCGCTGCATGTGTATACGAAATTAGACATTGCACACCTCTAGCACGTCTAGTACAGAGTCTGTTAAATAGATCGATATACTGTCAAGTTAACATACCATAGACGAATAATTAAAAACATCGATTAGCGTGATATCGAAATTGTGTCAGAACTAACGAGGGGTATCGCTACAACCTTGCTGTCGAGAAATCGGCGCGCACTTTAAATTTTCAACAATGCAATGCTTTTTTTTTTTTAAATAAGTATTTCTGCTCTTGACAATGCCATACATTATAGAATACAATTTTGAGATATGCGTTATAACATTGCTCAGCTCCGCATTGAATGAGAATTCTTTTTAACATATTGATTTGATATAACGGACCAGGCACAAAGTAAAAAGCGATAACATTTATTGGATACATTCAGTCTAGACTGAAAAAACAATGCAACGCGCTATTTTTTACATTGTCAACCACAACTTTGTTAATTTTTTAATAAACTGAAGCTAACGCGTCAACATAAAGAACAAATTCCAAAATCATTATATAAAAAGCGTTTACTCTATTTTACAGCCAGTTTCTGCTCAATCCTAAGTTCGACATTGTGCGCCTCGCCTGATGTTGTTGTTGCTTTTACATGCAGTTTTAAACTAATTATTAACAAAATTGTTGCTGCTGCTGTCGCCGCTGCCGAAATGTTGTTGTTGCTTGTCACTTGTATCCACAATCCAATTTGCAAATATGCGACGCCTACTAAATTGACAGCAATTTGTCAGTGTTTGAATGAAAAAGGGCTCAACGGATTTGTGGTTTCTTTACGTTTTTAGTGTGTTTATTAAAAAATTAATAATTTGTGGTTCATCGAGAAGCTCCCCAAATTACTGTGGCTTCCTACGGAACGAGCAGCCTGAAAATAAATTGAAACCTAGATTGTTTGGATGCGCCAAAATTGTTGTAATCAAATATGCCTTACCTTCTGTCAGCTTGGCACGTCCGCCAGTTGGCTGACACAGAATGGTGGCGCAGCCGGCGCAGACCACAACGCCCTGGGCGTGACTGAACACGGTTGTGATTCTGTAGCATCCCGGGCACTTGACATCCATGAAGTAGGAGTTGGGATGCTGCACCAAGCGCTTCAGCTTGTGCTTGCGTTTCTCCTCAGCGGGCAGAGGGTGCAGTAAATCTTTTGCTAGCTGTAACGGTAACCAAACAAAAATAATCACTGTTTGTGTATGCAATTCTTGGTTATGTGTCACAGTTACAGCAAGAGTATTTGCCGAGATTCACAACACAACTTAATCGTTAGTGTGCAATTGTATTTCACAACTGTCTGCAATCCCATTGGACACACGGGGGGATGCGCGCGTTTAGCATGCGTTGCCCACGAACGCACATATGGCTGGCTGTTGCCAATTGCACTGTTTTAGTTGCTAAATGCGTGTTTTATCACGGCAAATGCATATTTCGTATACACTAGATTGCAATACGCATGCTATCACACAGTTTTTGCGTATGCATTTGCAATTTTTCTTTGTTTAAATGTGTATTTTTGTAAAATTTCGCACCCACCGGCATGTTTTTTCTTTCACAGCTAACACGGAAAAGGAAGTGGGCCAAATCGCAGCCAACTTAACAAGCAATAAACTACTAATAAATACCAAATTCGCTGTATTACTTTAATTTGGTATTTTCATTACTGCACAGAGTGGCAGCTTAGCCATGATTGTTTTGGCGCCTTTTTAGCACTGGCAGCATATCGACACCTTAGAGCACTTTCAGCTGACACAAGATCCAAACCGCAGGAAAATTAAAGCTAACAATGTCGACACTGGAATTATGCGAAAAGTATTTTGAGACCCGTGATGTGTACAAGCTAATGGGCATTGCAAAGGATGCCAAAGAGAAGGAGATTAAAAAGGCATACCATAAGCTGTCGCTACTGGTGCATCCCGACCGAGTTCCCGACGCGCAAAAAGACGAATCCACGGAGAAGTTCAAAGTGCTCTCCAAAATTTATCAGGTGCTCACCGACACACAGAAGCGCGCGCTTTTCGACGAGCAGGGCATCATAGATGACGACGACGAGGGCAAGCTGACCAATTGGCTGGACTTGTGGAGCAACATATTCAAGCCGCTGACTGAGGAAGATATTTCCAAATTTGAAAAGGAATATATTGGCTCCGAGCTGGAGCGCACGGACATTAAGAAGGCCTATTTGGGCGGCAAAGGCTGCATGAACTACATCATGAACCATGTGCCGTTCATGAAAGTGGAGGACGAGCCGCGTTTCAAGGAAATTGTCGCCGCCATGATAGCCGCCGACGAGGTGCCCGAGTACAAGATCTTCACCGAGGAGCCGGCCGCCAAGCGCAATAAGCGCCACAAGAAATATGCCCGAGAATCCAAGGAGGCCGCCATCATCAAGGAGCGCAACCAGCGCCGACGCGATAAGGACGCCGAAGCGGCACAAGAGTCGTCCGGCGGCGACGGCAACCTGGAGCAACAGATACTGTCGCGAAAAAATCAACGCGAATGCAACTATAATTCGCTCATGGACCGTCTGCTGGAGAAGTACGGCGGCGAGGAGGATTCCGATACATTTGACTTTAGTGTCCTGGACAAGAAAAGGAAGCTAAAGAAGTCCAAACAAGGCCAAAAGGCTGCAAAGATAAATGGCGTTAAAAACGGCCGGGTGGAGAAGCCAAAAGCCTAGACGCCCATATTTGTAGATTTAACATTACTAAATTTGTGTAGTTTTAGTTCTAAATATCTTTATATGAACAACTTAATCTCTATTATGATTATTGGGCGCAGCTAAAAGTCGTATTTGTTGAAAAAGAATATATATGCACATTTTTCAACATATATGCGACTTGATCATAAATAGCCCTATCAAAGCCAGGGTTACATAAACACTTTTTTGCATAAGAAAGTCAATAACTTTGTAACACACATAAATATATATAATTATTAATAATACAAATATAAGATTTGCTTGTCTTTTTGCTCGCCATTTTATCATATCAGTTTCTGCGCTGCATACCAAGCGTCGGGGGCTGCCAACTCGATTGAATGTGGTTAGCGCCATTTTTGGCCACAGCAACATATCGACCATCTATCGTGAACGGTAAACAAAAGAAAAATTGTTGAAAATCGAGTTAAAACTGGCCACACAAAACCATTAGACCTGCTGCGTAAAGACATCCGATGGACGCATTAGAAAAGACGCCGGTCGTTGCAAGTAAATGTCGTGTTTGCCTAGGAGAATACGACGAGAGCACCATGCAAGCACTTTCCACAGAGAACGACAATACGGACGGCGAGGATGAAGGCATCCATAGCGCAGCCTTTGATAAACAGCATTTGAGCCGGAGTATTGAGTACTGTTGCGGCATTAGAGTAAACCCAGTCTGAATGAGCTCGACACATGTTCTAAATGCCTTATTTACAGATACGCCGGTCAATGCAGCTGCCGTCTCTTGTCTGCGAGCGCTGCTGCGATTTTGTGCGCATGTGGTTCAGCTTTCGGCAAATGTGCCTCAATTCGCAAGTGTACTTGGAGAGCTCGTGCTTGCATGATGAGAAGCCAGACGACCAGATTGATTCCAGCAACAGCGAGTACATGGAATATCTGTACGAGACGTTGCAGCTGCAAACGCTCGATCGCGAGGAGCTAGAGTCCGGTGGCTCCCCGGAGATGGGCAGTGATTATGTGGTCGACTATGACGACGAGAGCATTGTTGCAGACGCCACAATGCCGCCGGACGAGCTGGACGAGTGCCCAAAGCACTATTTGCCTGAAATAATAACCGAGCTGGAGGCGTACGAGGCTGACGAGGGCGAGCCCATAGAAGTCGAGCCGGCTCTGATATATCCAGACGACAGCCAAACAGCGGACGCTGACCTACCACTTAAGCTGGAGCATTGTGATGCCGATTATGATGATGATAACGATGGGTTCTTGTCGCCAACGCCATCGCCTGAACCAAAGCCCACCACGACAGCTAAACGCAAGCCGGGTCGCCCTCGCAAACCGGACAGCGAGCTGAAATCAAAGCGAAAGATCAAAGGCGAACAGCTTGCCAAAAACGAGCAACAGACTGAGGACATGCCCACGAAATATATGTGCAATTTGTGCGGCAATGTCTATCCCAAGAAGGCCGCATTCACGGCCCACATGATGGCACACACCGACTACAAGCCGCACCAATGCGAGTAAGCTGCATTTTTACCTATAAGGCGGCAAAGATTTTCCAATTCACGCTTCATCTCTCTCTCCCAGAATCTGTTGCAAGTCCTTTCGTCAAATGGGCGAACTGCGCGCACACATACGCCGACATACCGGAGAGCGGCCCTACAAGTGTCTGTACTGCGACCGTCATTTCTACGACCGCAGCGAGAAGGTTCGCCACGAGCGTGTGCACACCAACACGCGGCCATACGAGTGCAAGGAGTGTGGCAAGACGTTCACGCACACGGCCATCCTCAAGAACCACAGCTTGGTGCACTCCGGCGAAAAGAACTTCAAGTGAGCAAAGCCCAAGCACTTTTCGCCTATATCAATTTGTTAATATTATTATTTGCAGCTGCAACATTTGCTCCAAGTCATTTACATTGCTGCACCAGTTGAAGGCACATCTGCAGACGCTGACGCACAGAAGCAAAGAGGAGCAAGCTTTCGCCAGCTCCAGCAGCTACATTCTGAGCCAGGAGAATCTGGAGTAATTTAAGATATTCTAAATTATAGTGGATTAAACAACATTGATGTATCAGTAGACCATATTTTAAAATCGTATTGTCCCATTGAATGCAACAGCCTCGACGTTCTATTGTATATAGTGCGCGCTATATATACATATTTATATTTCTTGCTCAAACAAACAAATATTTGGCTTACTTTACCCGATAAGATTATGATAATAGATGCTACAGCTACCATAGGAGCAATTTATTTAATAACTGAAATTAGAATTAATGTTTAATTCGAGCAGCTCTTAGCTGCTGGAATAGTCGCCTTCATCCTGGTTGTACAGCATAATGCCCACTTCGTAGCGATGCACGTGCGTTCTTTCGTGAGCCTTCAGCTGATGGGGCAGACGAAAGCCTTTGTTGCAGGTCAGGCATTTGTGTGGCTTTTCTTTGGAGTGCGAAAGGGCGTGCGCCTTCAATGTTGTCGACAGCGAGAAGGTCTTGGCGCAAATGTCACACGCATAAGGTCGTTCATTTGTGTGCATTCTGTTAGTCACAAGGCGATAGTTAGTAAAGGAGCTTAAAGTTATCATTAGACGTCAAATTACGAACCGTTCGTGCTTTCGATGGGTGCTCCGGTCCGCAAAGCGGCGACCACAGTGGGCACATTCGTATGGCTTTTCGCCCGTGTGGGTGCGCATATGGGTTGTTAGATTGCAGGCGGCGTTGAAGCGTTTGGAGCACAGCCTGTAAATATGGACATATAAATAATTGCATTAGACGATGTGGCATAAGAAACTTACTCGCACTCGTAGTTCTTTTCGTTGCGATGCGTGCGCAGATGCGATTTGAGCTGGGTTTGATTTGGAAATGAATTGCCGCACATGGAGCAGCTGTGCCTGGGGAAGCTTGATGGCTCGCAGGCTGCGCCCAGGTCAACCGTAAGCGAAGCGACAGCCGAAGCAGGCTCCTCCATTTGCAAACGTTCCAATTTCAGCGCAGATTTTCCCTCAGCATCGGGCTGGCTGTCCACAGCGAGACGCTTTACCGCTGGAGTTCCAGATTCTGGCTCAATAGCTTCAGCTTCAGCTGCATAACTATCATGCTGTCTGTAATCGTGGTCATCATCGTCGTCCTCGTTGTCCGCCACATCTGTTATGATGTACTCGTTGCCTTCGTTGTCTGTCGCCTCGCCTTCGGTCAGATTTAGCACACATTTGCTGACGACAAGTAAATAATCCTCGTCGTTCTTTTCAGACGTATCTGCCAACTTTTCCAATACAGTGTGCTTCTCGGCAATGAGCTCAAGCATTTCATTTTTGTTATCTGCACAGCTACTTAAATCCTCGTCCGATAGCTGCTGTGCCTCAATAGTTTCTGGCTGAGGCGTCTCTTGCTCGGCTAATAAACTCTTCACGAGTTGTGTTTTGAATCTCTTTTTCTGCTGATGAGAAATGCTTGGCTTGGGTGCACGTGCATCCCTGCCCACTTTCGATGGACTGCTGCTATCGGTGTCCTCGTCCAAGGAGATACTCGGAAAGCATCTGCCCGAGGACATGGTGCGACGCACAACATTTCTCAGATGTGCATCGGCCCGTCTGCAGCCCATTAAAAATGTATGCACCGATTGCAGATTTTGAATGCAGTCTGTGCATATTTGGTCGGGCAGGCCATCCTCTGGTTTCGCCTGTATATAATTATAATGAAAATAAACTCACAAAATTTCAAATTGCGTGGGTCTTACCACAATCCCAGCATATTCTCGCAATTGCTTCGCTAATCTGGCATCATCGAAGAGCGGCTGCAGCTGGGCACTTGTATCGGCTGTGCAGGTACGGCACAGGGTCCACTTTATGCAAATTTCCATTCTTAATACTCAACAATCACCATATAAATGCAATTAAAACACACTCGTTCATTTTGCGCCACAGCCGAGCTTGTAATCAGCACGTCAGTTTTGGCCTGTTTCCACTGCAGCCGAAACGCGCGTTTTGTGCCTACCTGTTAGCAGAACTAGCGTTTTATCAAAACATGTTTCTAGCTTAACATTCATGCCTGGCACTTATAGAAGATTCCTTTTCTTAGCTCAAGAGAATGAGAAAGGCTCAATTGCAAGTCTGATTTTATGCATATATTTGTGCAAAATGACTGATGGGCCATATATTTGAGTTTTAGTGCATCATGAAATCGCATCCCCGACAGTGGGAATGGCAAAAAATTGCCATTCACCAACGCAGTCGCTTCTTCAAGTAGAATACCAAACAAAATAGTTGTTAGATAATGTGGTCACACTCGCATACTGTCAAAAATAAAAAATAAAAATCTAAGGACAAACTGCAAATAAATTAAAGACGCCTTATTAACATATTATTCTTGTTATTACTGTTAAGAGTTTTGCAAAAACAAAATCAAAGCATGCCAGAGTATGTGATATGCCGAATATGCTTAACAGAAGATATGAATGTTGACACCATGACACCTCTCTACGACGAACAGGACGTCCAATGTCCCCTGGTTCGGAAAATAGAGGAAATCGGCAGCATTAAGGTACGCCCACAGACATATACATACATACAAACTGCAACCTGTACATTTTCTCATGTCAATTCAACATTCAACAAAAAGCTACCGCCACTGGAGGATATGCCGAGCCTTCTCTGCTGCAGTTGTGTCGGTAGCCTGACGAGCGCCTATAAATTTCGGGAATTGTGCCAGGAGAGCGAGCGAACCTTTGCCAGCAGCGTTGTGAAGGTACAAGCTCCAGTCCGTTTAAGTAAATGCAAATGGCTTAAATGTAAATTTGATTGTTGAGTTTTTCAAGGCTGAACTAAAATTGGAGCCCACGGATGATCCTTCGCAAATTGAAAGTGATACGGTAGAGTACATTTACGAGGCTACCAACGAGTTTATCGATCCCGACGAAGATATTGAATTCGACGCCATGTTAGAAGAGCGCTTGGAGGAAACAATTGAGGAGGCGGAGACGGACGCGGCCTACGATGATTTCGAGGCGACTCGAGATCTGGATGACAAGAACATATTGCTTGGCAATGCCAGTGACAGTGACTACGATCCCAGTGAGCGTCTGCGAAAGCCAAAGGTGCGAAAATCGCGGCATGGCAAACGTGGACGCGGACGGCCTCGGAATCCGACACATACAGTGCTGAAGCATGGCCAGGCAAAACCAGCTGCCACGGCCAGTAAATCAAATGAGGACACCTCCACAAACATCATGTGTGAAATATGCGGTAATATCTACTCGAAGCGGGCCGCCCTCAATATTCACATGCGTCGTCACATGTCCGAGAAGCCTTTCGAATGCGAGTATGTTTGTAGACTAGCTGACACAGCACAAGCTTGCAAATGATTTAATTGAGTAACGATAATGAAACGAAGATGTAAGAGTTGTCTTTGAGGTGTCCGCTTCGTCCGATTCGTATATTGACCTGTCTGTAAGAGATGGATCAATGCCAAGTTAGGAGATAGATCTATGCCAAGTTAAGAGATGGATCTATGCCGAGTTTCATCAATAGCTTATAGACCGAGAAGTAGCAGGAATAAAAAACCTTAATGATAACACCTTATGCAAGTGTCAAACGCGTAATTATCATTACTTAACTAAATTTCATTTGCTTGAGTATTTATTTCTTACTGGCAGCTTACCATATAAGTTTAATACTTTAGCCCAATTTTTCAACTTATAATTCTTTTTCAGGATCTGCGCCAAGACGTTCGCCGGACCCTCAGAGCTTAATCGGCATATACGAGTGCATACAGGCGAGAAACCGTTTACGTGCAAATACTGTTCCCGCTCATTTGCTGATCGCAGCTCAAATATACGCCACGAAAGGTGCCGGCTGAGACAATAATTTATCTTTTCATTACTAATATTAATTTTCCTTACAGAACGCACACAAACGAGCGACCCTTTACGTGTGGCACATGTGGCAAGTCTTTCTCATATTCGAATGTCCTCAAGAATCACATGTTGACGCATACGGGCGAAAAGCCCTTTTTGTACGTTCGACTTTTTGCATATGTTAAAATCTAATGGCCAAGTCTCGTCACATTTTGTTAAAGTTATGCCAAGCTAGTTAATTAACCAACCTGCTAAACGTGGCATTAAATTGTATATTGTAAAAAAAAGCTGTGTCGAGAGCCATTAAGATTTGCATGACAATTCAATTAAAGCCTATTTTAATGAAATATATTTTCTTTTCAGATGTTTGCCGTGCAATAAAACATTCTCCCGCAAACACCAGCTGGAGCAGCACATGGGAACAATGACCCATCAGCAAACTGTTAGAGCTCTGCAGACTACCGATGCGGTACGTCATTCTGAGATATATTAGTCATTCGTAACGGATTAATCAATTATTTAGTTTTTACATAAGTTAAATTAAAATCTTTACTGTAAATAAAAAGTACAAATTTAAGAAACATTTCAAAATCAGCTTTGTCGCCTGAGCCTTAGGTTTGTGACTGCGACAGTTCAGTTGGGCTTGCAGGTGCCCGGCTTTATGGAACCATGTATCACAGATGACACAGCTGCATACCGGAGCTTATGCTCTCGAAAGTTGCTTTTATTATTCATAGTCGGAATTTGGCTGCTTTACATTTTGCTGCTCCTTGGTCAACATTAAACTGAGGCTTCTCCATTCTTCATGGACTTCCTCTATTAAGCCCTCCAAATCTTATTCAACTTCAAAGTTGATTTCTTTTGGTGCGCAGAAAACTATTTTTGAATTCAGTTCTTGGAATAGCTGCTTTTCCAAGATAATGCAGCGTTGGCGAAACTTTATGGCGCATCCCAAGTCCATGGGGCACATGAGGTACCGTGGATGTCCTTGGATTTCTGTAATCTATCAATTTATGTATGTTTAATAAAACAAATCAAAAGTGCGATGTTCAATGTTCAACCTACAATCCTGTGATTGATTGAATTTTCCGTATTAAATGTCGATTTTGTTCATCAAAAAGGTCAAGGATTAAGGATTAAGGGATCCAAGCAAATGCGACATTTTTTCTACTGCATACTTTAAATTTAATACTGAAACATGCAAGCGAATATTTAGTTCACAATTAATATACTTCGCTTCCTCTTCTTTGAAGTGCATTCACAGTGATTCTTAGTTTCCAATAAACAGCTGTTTTCCTTTATAGAAAAAAAAAACTGTATTTTGAAGCGTTTGTTTTTTTTGTTTACTAACGAATTAAAATACTATTATGTTAAGTTAAATTAAATAAAAAATGACGCTCAAATGCCGTACATGCGCAACTGTAATTTACAACATGAACGCCAAGAATCTCTTTGAGCGTGAGAACTCTGAAATACTAATGAACATTGAAATGGTAGCCGGAACGGCGGTAAAGCTTTATGCTTCAATATGATGTTAAAACAATGGTAATAGTTGTTTTGCTTACAGCTGGTAAGCAGTCCAGAGCTGCCATCGCACATATGCGCTTGCTGTCTTCTTGACCTGAAACAAGCCGTATATCATATACAAGTATTCCGTGAGCGCTGCATCAAGACTCAAGAGCAACTGTTGAGCACCCACATCCAGGTCGAACCTTGTTCGGAAGGAGACTCGGACTTAGTTTATGAATTCAACAGCTATGATAATATTAAACTGGAAAATAATATTAATGTCGAGGAAGTATCAGTTAAAAGCAATAGATCAAAGGATGACTTCGATGATGAGGAAGCAGAGTTTCATGAAAATGAAGAGGACAGTTCAAATGATATGGAGGCTAGTTTTGTTGAGGGCTTCACCGAAGATACCCACTGTTTGATGACAGGCGCATTTAGTAGCGATAGCCAAGGAACAAACGAAGAGTTTCGGGAAAGCGCCGACCAGGATTTAAGTCAATATGATAGCTACAACGACATAAGTACGTCTCCTAGTTTCAAGAGCAGCAAAACTAGAAGTTTTGCCAATGTCCTGATCAAACCCACAGAAACCAGTGAAAGCGCTGATAAGAAACCCTGCAAAGAGAAGTCGAATGAAAGCAGCGTAGAGACTAAAACACACAAAGTCAAGAAAACCTACCTCAGCTGGAAGAACCTGACGGAGGAGCAAATTATCGAACGCCGTAGGCAACAGCGGCGTCGGGACTGCATATGCGATCAGTGCGGCCGGCATTTCACGGACCAAAGCAACTTTAAATTGCATATGCTGCGGCACACGGGTGTCAAGAACTTCAAGTGCAAGGAGTGCAGCAGACTCTTCTACACCGAACACTTGCTCCAGCTGCATGAGCGGACCGTGCATCGCGGCGAGCGTCCCTATGCCTGCAAGTACTGCGACAAGACATTCAACAGCAGCACGACGCGTGTAATCCATGAACGGTGACTGCTCCTCAGTTAAAAACTGGGTAGTTCATTTATTTAGCTAACAATTTCTATATTTTTTAGCTCCCATACAAATGTGCGTCCGTACTCGTGTGAATATTGCGATAAATCATTTATTTCGACGTCTGCTCTGAAGCGACATGATTTAACACACAATGGTGTGCGATCATTTTAGTAAGTGTTTTTACTTAAAAGAAGCTTAAATTTATTATTAATTTTTTCCAAACTTTCCAGCTGTAAAATATGCGACAAAACATTTCAAAGAAATACTCATTTAAAGGCTCACTTACGTTCCAAACTGCATGCCTTAAGAGAAACGAATATTAGTTTATTGCGAGAGTTTGAATAAAAACAAATTAGCTCTTATATATTTTATTTATGTCTTGGATGTAAATAGTTAATGATTTCCCTCAAATTAAGGTTGACATCTATCAATTTTTTACTTTCCGTTTATGTTTCAACGGTGACTAAAAAACAAATAAACTTGATAAACGTAACTAAATTATAATTTTTTTTTTATATCTTGCACAAATCTTTTAAATGAATCAAGTTAAGAAACAAGTTTTCTTAGAACTGCATGATTGGATTTAAGATATGTTAATCTAATCAAAATTGAATAGCTGTTAAAAGAAAAAAAGTGTTTACATATTGATATAATTGCAAAATCCCGACATCAGTATATTTATTACAATATAGTCGTATTTTTTGGTATATTTCTTTTTATCAAAGAACGGTATTTTTTCAGATTCAAGATTCGGTCGCGTTGTCAGCTTCTGTCCTGTTCACAAATCAAACGATTTTTTGTAGATTTTATGAAAATGGAAGATTTTTGCCGTACCTGTGGCAAAACGGTGAACGCAGAAAGTTGCATCAACATCTTTTCACCCATGGGTCGTCGTCTTTTGCACTGCGTGCGCACCATAACAAACTGTTGGGTATGGAACAACGTATTCAAGCCAATCGAATGCTTATATCAATTTCTTTCAGTTGGAAAATGTGGCCGGGTTTCCTATCTATATGTGCGAGGACTGCCAAACGCTGGTAAAGAAGGTTAACTCCTTTCGCAAACGCTGCTCAAAAATTGAAGCCTTTCTCGTTAAACGTAAGGCCAAATTGAGCACAAACAATATTTCGCCTGCAACGTCCGACCAAGCCAAGATTTCTGACCCACTTCGTATTGAGGAACCAGTCGATATAAAGCTGGAGCCAACGTCCGCACAGCAACAACAGATCGACGACGATGTTGATTATCAGCTGCAGGAAGACTTTGAGGAGACGAGCGAAAGTTATTATGGGGATCAGCCTGATTCCGATGGCTATGCGGATATATCTTTTGATGAGGATATTGAGGAGCCGCCCAGTGATGCATCGCCTCATGCTGCCACCCAAGCCGAACCCGAATTACATCCAAAAAGTCCAGCGCACATTGATCCACATAGAAAATCTAAAATGGGCTCCCGCAAGTATACAATGCGTGTGGGAAAGAGAACCATGTACATTAAACTGACCAACGATAAACAACCGAAACGCATTGTGGATCGCGAACGACAATGGGCATCGGCGCGACCCTGCATCTGTGAGCACTGTGGTCGCCAATTCAAAGATGGCAGCAATCTCAATGTGCATCTGTTGCGGCACACCGGCACCAAGAACTACGAGTGTCCGGAATGCAACGAAAAGTGCTACACATTGCATCTGCTGCGGCGCCATCAGCTGAAACACACTGAAGGTCCCTACGAGTGCACCTTCTGCGGACTACAATACAGTACAAACAGCTCGCGAGTGCGCCACGAACGGTAAGTAAAATGTAACTAAGGGACACGTAGGTGTTTAATACCTTGATTTACAGCGAGGCTTGCAAAAAAGGTCGAGCGCCGCAGTCAAAAACGGAGCTCATCAAACGAGGTGAACGCACATTTCAGTAAGTCCAACTAGCTTAAAACCATTTAAATTGTTTAATCTTGTCCTATTCTTTATTAAAGCTGTGACGTCTGTGATCTATGGTTTCTGCGTGCCGGCAACCTAACCCAGCATATAAATTCATCAAATCATATTGCTAACGCGCGCATTAAAAACAAAAAGTCACAACTACAACAAAAGAAATCGCTAAATATGAATGCTATATCTTGAATTAGGCAAAACTAATTAGTCAATTTGAGTATTTTTTTAATAAAATTAATTAAAAGAATGCGCAGTGTACTTTACATAACTTAAAACACTTGATAGTCTATAATTCTAGCTTAATTTGAATCATCAACGATTTCAATCTTTGTCAGCTTTTGCAGGTTTTCCTTATGCATTTTGCTGAACTGATGCGAATATAAATTGAATTTATATCGAAAGAAAGCGTTGCAGACGTCACACCTGAAAGCAAAAGGGATATATATGTTAAGGTTTAATTATATTTAGTTGCCAATCAATTGCCAAACCTATAGGGACGCTCCCCAGTGTGAATACGTTCATGTTCCTTTAGCTTGCTGCGTACATAGAAGCCCTTTAGACAAATGTCGCACTCAAACGGACGTTTGCTATCGTGCTTCATTTCGTGCTTCTTTTTCGATTGGGGATCTGCAAAGCTCATGTCGCAGAATTTGCATTTGAAAGGCTTGGCCCCGATGTGCAGATTGTTATGCCAATTGAGTGCATATTTGGTCGCATAGCTTTTGTCACAATACAAACAAAAGTGCCGTACAATTTCCTTTTGGTCCTGCTCATTCGGCGGCTGCTGCTCCTGTTGCTCATCTGACAATTCAATTCTTTTGTTCAAGCGATTCACATTCCTGTGAATACGTGGAGATGCTCCATGAACCTTTCTGTAATGACGATTTCTATATTAATGTTGCACAAGTTGTTGTGTCAAAAGATTCACCTACTTTTCGTGCAGATAACGCGTGTTAGATGAACCAAATGCTTTTCGACAATAATTGCATTCAAATGGCAGCTCTCCTCTGTGCCTCACTCGTATGTGAATATTTCGCATATAGGCATCGTAAAATTTCTTAGGGCACTCGGAGCACTGGTAGTTTTTCGTCCGCGTATGACGCAGCATGTGTATCGTTAGATTACATCTCACTCGAAAAGAGGCGCCGCACTGATCGCACACATGATTTAGTGGCATGGCTCTGATCTGTTCACGGCGTATACGATTTTTTTCCTCTTTTGTGCGTTTGGGACGTTTCGGTTTTGGTTCCCGAGGTTTTCGTTTTCGATTTCTTGCCGCGTTTGGCCTTTGGGTCGTTGCCTTTCTTTGTCGCGGACGAGGCAGCTTATCCTTGCCCCTATATTCATTTAGAAGATCCTCATAAATTTGTGCACCCAATGCAATACTACTTGGATCTGCAGCCGATGGATGTATTGACAGATTCACTTGCTGTCCTGCTGCAAGGGACAAAGGCTCAATTACAGTCGTTTGACCAGTTTGATCTTCCGCCGGAAATACTGATACAAAATCATCTTTTGCATCATTCTCACAAATCTGCAATAGCTCCGCATCTTGTGCATTTGACATTTCTTTGCCGTTTTCTTTAATAACAGACGGAAACTCATCAACGTCGCCCCCGGTAAGCTGCAGTTCTGCCCGGATACATGTTTCCCGAAAATCAATGGCTGTGCGCAGATTATTGACGCATCCGGAGCACATGAACGGTGACATTCCCTCCTTGCATTGGACCTGCAATACAAATATTTGTATATTCAACTTGGTGCAATTTAAAAGACGCTCTCACCCAAATGCCGGTTATAACTTCAATGTGATATAACATGACGGCATTTTGTTCATCGCAAAGATCCTTAGTATTTTCATCGACAACAAAGAGTCTACAGCAGGTGCGACACCTTATCTGATCAGTTAGTCTTTCATTATTGCAGCTACCTTTTGTGCACAAATCTAGCTCCGCCCTTTCCTCGGCCAAAGGATCGCTCTCACTGGGCGTGGGTGTAAATGGAATGAAGGCGTTGCCCGTGGCACTCACAAAGTCGGGCACAGAGACAATGCCAGTATTTCGGATGAAGTCTGGAGCTATGACAATTGCTCCGCTGGCCTCAGCTGCTTCTCGTGCAGCCGCTTCCTCCAACAGCTCAGCGACCAATTTCTTGTTCTTTCGCTTTTCGGATCGCTCTCGTTCAACCTCGCTTTCATCGTTTTTGTTGATGCAAGGCACGGCTCCTGGTCTCAGCGTTCTCTTTGAGCACAGGCCTGCAAGTCGCAATTAAAGTTGATTGGCGATGGTTAAGTTAGCTATAAACGATAACACAAACCCATTTGAAATTGTAATGCTCCTTGGATATCCTCCTCCTTGAAGTGCTCATTGCAAATGACACTCTTCAGAGGAGCCTTAAGTTTCTCTTTGTTGTATTTGCGACAAAACGAGACCCATTTTTTTAAAATTTCCGGGTTTTTGGGGAAGCTAAAGAAACTCAATTGCTGGGAGTGTTTTTGTCTTGACTTGAACTTGTTGGCGCAGTTTTGCACCGCACACTTCATTTTATTATAATTTATTTTTATTTGTGACGTCGCATTGCAGACCTAGTGCCAGGGTTGGCAAACAACTACTAGCCCTGCAGTGTGTAATCGATATGCGATCGATATTTTTTAAATTACCGATAACCGATTAACTGGCGGGAAAAGTAATTGAATAACAAACAGTCAATTGGTTAAAAATAATTTTATTATTTATTCCGATTCAACTCCAGTCTTGTCTAGTTTTAGCGTAGCATTTGTCTGATGAAACTTCGAGCGGTAGTGAGCACGTAAGCTTGACTTCCGATTAAAGTACACATTGCATATATCGCAGCTGTGGAGTTTGAATATGCTCCATAAGAATTACAAGAAAACTTCACCGTGTTTATATATACCTGAAAGGTTGTTCCCCCGTGTGCACGACAGCGTGAGTATCCAAGATGCTTTTCTTTCTGAAAGACTTGTTACATAACTTACAAGTAAAGGCTGGCACCTCTGCACTCGATTCCAAGTACTCCATGTGGCTCCTGCGAAAAATCGCAAGTTTTTTAAAGTCAAAATAAAATAAAGCATATATTTACTACCGTTGATGTCGTAAACGTGCCATGCTGTTCGCAAAACGTTCGCCACAATATTTACAGGCATACGGCTTTTCGCCCTGGTGCTGTATACGTTGATGCAAATTAATTAGATGCTGCGTATAATCTTTGTGTCCGCATTCCGGGCATTCAAATTTTTTAACTCCCATGTGCCGTTGCAGATGTCGATTTAGGTTCGCTTTGTCATTAAAATGCCTGCCGCACTGATCACAAAAATAATTCCCCAACCTTCGAATCCTTTTGTTAGGCGCACGGGACGCGCTGCTGGATGGCGAGCTCTCACTTTTTCTCGTCTTTTTCGCTTTCGATGGTTTAATTGTTTCATTCGTCTGGCTGGAGCTCTGCAATCCTCTGTAAGAGTTGTGGGTAGCAGGCACATTTGGCAAAGTAGACTGTTCATTATCAAAAACAGTCTCAGCTAGGTCGAAAGCGGTCTGAAGCATATTTTCTTCGTCTGTTGTCTCATCCAAGTGCCTTTGACGGTGTCGGCTAAAATTTGATTTATCATCAAAATACATACCACATTGCCTGCAAAAATATCTCCGGGATGGAATATGTGATGTAATTTTATACTGAAGATCCGGCACAGATTTTGGAATCGAGGCGCGTGAAATTCTGGGAGGCATCTGTGGGGAACTTTGGGAATATGCGGAACCTGTTGCGTCACAACCATCCTCGAGCTCAATAAGTCCACTTTTATCATTTGATAGTGGATCATTGTCATTGACAAATGGACAAATGGATTTATTGGAGGTCTGTTTCTTTTCCAAATTTTGACGCATCAACATGGTATTAGTTTTTATACAGCGCTCTCGGAATGCTATGGCATGTTCCAAGTCTAACAGGCAGTAAGCGCAAATCTTTCCCGGCATATCTAACTCATCTGTAAACTATAAATTTATTGAAATCAATCAATTTTTGTGTCTGCTTCGAAACAATCATCCTTACCCAAATGCCAGTTAAGGCTTGTATTTTCTTCAGAATCTCATCGCCCTTATCTGCGAAAAGGTTTTTGGCATGGAGACGGTCAATCTGTTTGCCACACGTCCTGCATATAAATGCAACTGACATTATAAGACGTTATTGGTAATCCTATTTTGGAATTGTTTATATGTCTTGGCACCTGTAAATCATATAGACAGGGCTGTTATTCTGTTTATAAAATACATCGTTTACTGTGAATAGCAAATTAGACAAGAGCGCGGCGAATGGCTGCACAATTGAATAAGAAGCAGCATTTTGAAATTTTATTAAAATTAATAGTGCTAGTCAAATATTCATTAATTAAAACTCATTCTTATATTGATTACAGACTAACTAAATGGAGATCAAGAGCTAGGAAGCTAAAATGTTTACTGTAAGTTTTGCAGAAAACAAAAATACACATATCACAAAAGGGCTTTTGGAAACTTGTTTTAAATTAAATAGTTTATTTGTGTTAGCTTTATAAAAATTTTAACGCAAATGTGATAAGAAAAATAACAACAAAACAAAATCAATACATATGCATTTAAGTACATATATTAACAGTTGTAACAGAAAAGGATATTGTGGCCTATTAAGGATAAAAGGAGCAGCAACTTTAACTAAGCTTAGTTATTTTTCTTTTTAATAAAAGTGTTGAAATATAAATAATTACGTATTAAAAATATATATTGTATTAAAAGATATATTGTCAAATATTTTTCATGGCCATGCGTGCTTTTTTTTTCAATTGTTTTCGACTGCGTCACATTTTTAAACATCAAAATCTTCAATGATTGAATCAATGTCAGTTTCCACATCGGAGATCGCCTCAATAATGTTGAATTGTTTATCCAGCGCCTCGGTGGCTCTTTTTTGATGTTGCTTTGAACGGTAGTGAATTTTCAAGTTCGTATTTCGGGGAAAACCCACATTGCATATTTCGCAACTGAAAGACAATATCAGCTTGTAAACGATAGAGAATTTAAAAACGTAATTTAACAATACCGATATGGTCGTTCGCCTGTGTGTAGAAATTCGTGCTTATTTAGGCAGGATTTTGTGAGATACGTTTTTCCGCAAAGCCGGCAGGCATATGTCAATTTCCTAGTGTGCTTTACACTACCAAAGTTAGATAATTAGAGTAATGCAGTGCAAATAGAGTATTAGCCTTACCGTTCATGCCGACAGCGGCTGGTGCTCGTGAAGAAGCGCTGATCACAGTATTTGCATGCGTATGGCATTTCGCCTTGGTGCCGAACGCGTATGTGCAAATTGAGTAAATGCCGTGTAAAGTACTTTGTGTTGCATTCCTCGCACTCAAAGTTCTTCACACCTGTATGCCGCAATATGTGCACTTTCAAATTGCTGGAATCCGTAAAACATTTGCCACATTGATCGCAGACGTAGGTCTTGCTATTGCCAGTTTGCCTCGCATTACATTTCATTTTGTTTCTGGATCCATCGGATGTGGCACTATCATAATCCTCTGACGCTGATTGCTGAGCTTCCTCCATTGCAATACGCTTGCTTTTGTCCACTGAAGACGCTTTGGCATGACTTAACATATTAAGAGTCTTATCGCACTCTGTCTCTGCCTCTCGCAATATGATAACACGTCTTCTGAGCTGACCTGAAGAATCTCTCATTCTGGTGTTGATGCTCAATTGTTGCTTTGGTGAGCGTGCGCGAACAATGTGATTTTGTGGAGAGGTATGGCATGGTTCCGTGAGAGCACGCACAACTTTTCGCTGCGGTTGCTTTTTGCTTTTAGTCGGATGAGGTGTGACTCTTCCTTCTGCGGTATTCAGTGGATCAGGTGCAGCTGCATTTGCTTCCACTCCGCTATGTAGAAGTTGTTGTATTTTTATACAACGCTCCCGGAAGGCTATTGAATGGTTCAAATCCAAATAGCAGCAGGCGCAAATGTGTTTCGGCATATCCTCATCGTCATCTAACTGAAACAAAACGTGAAATTCTTACACATCCATCATTTTTTAATCGAAGGCATACCCTGATTCCTGTCAGTATTTCGATTTTGTCTAACATCTCATAACTTTCCCGATCGAAGAGGTTCTTGGCATTCAGATTGTAAATCTTTTCGCCACATGTTCTACACAAAACTAAGGTCGACATTTTAACAGTTCAATTGCCCTGCCCAAGCGTGGCAGGCGTGTTTTTATTATTATCATACAACCAAAGACAAAACATGTGAATGACAAAGGTACAGCTGTTGCATACGTTGCGTTGTGAATAGCAAACAGATGGTACTCTTATTAAATGCCATTCTCTATGTGCTATAACAATATACATTTATACATCAAGTTCAACTATAATTGAGTCTGGAAACACTATAGCTCCGTCAGGTGCGGCTATATCTTTTATGCCATCGAGCTGACTGTTTAACGCTTCGCTAGCCCGCTTTTGGTGCTGTTTTGTACGGCAATGAATCCTTAAACCTGGCTTTCGCGGAAACGCCACATTGCACAATTCGCAGCTGAAATATAGAATTTAATTCAGAACATAAACTTAATAAGTTTTAATTTTAACATACCGATATGGTCGCAAGCCTGAGTGCAGGAATTCGTGTTTATTCAAACACGATTTCGTGTTGTATTTTTTTCCACAAATCTTGCACTCATACGACCAACTTCTTATGTGCCGTACTCTGTGAAACACAAGTATTCAGTTAAATTTATAAATTGGTCTATTTTATATTCTCACTGTTCATGGCGGGTACGTGTGCTGCCAGAATAGAACCGCTGGTCACAGAATCTGCACACAAATGGCATCTCGCCTTGGTGCTTCACTCGAATATGCAATTGTAGTAGGTATTTGGAATAGTGCTTTGCGCCACATTCCTCGCATTCGAAATTCTTTTCTCCTTTATGACGCAGTATGTGTATATCCAAGTTTTTTGGACTTGTGGACTGATGACCGCAAAGGTCACAGATATAGACCTTGGGATCTCCAGCGGGTTTATCCTTCTTGGTCGCAATGTTATTCTCTTGTGCTGTTAAGGACTGGGCAGCAGAGGACACCTTAGCTGGACTGCCTTCAAGCCCTGCTTCCTGAAACTCTTCAGTTTGGTCAAAGGTGGCATTTAATTCATTTGACTCTTCCTTTGATCTACTAGGACTCTGTTCACAATTGCTACGACTGCAAGGTGGTGAAGTTTTTAAGCTATCAGCTTCTTGACGATGTTCAGCGTTTGGATCAGGCTGTGCATTGGTAACAGGCGACGTTTTGGCAAAGTTGCGAACATAGGAATATTTTCTGCGTTTCCTTGTACGCTTTTCTGTTCTAGCATTGCAATTTGGCTTACGAGCGCGAAGAATGCGATGTTGCGGAGGATTTTGACTTAACGCTTCTGTATCTGGTGTATGCAATATGTGATTCTCTATATGACTTATTTGTATTGCACCAAAAGGTTGACTTGATGTTTCACTTGTTGAACCAACTTCTGTCTGGCCTGTATTTAGCGGGTCTAACTTTTTCGCCTTTTGATTTGCACTCTGCAAATAATGTTCGGTTTTTAGGCAGCGCTCTCGAAAAGCTATCGAATGGTACAGATCCAAATGGCAACAGGTGCAAATGTGCTTGGGCATATGCTGGTCCTCATTCAACTATAATCAGATATCAGACATACGTACATATATCTTCTAACAAAGTTGAGGCAAATGTTTACCCGGATTCCAGTTAGTGTTTCGATATTAAGCAATATCTCATTGTCGTCTTGCTCGAAGAGATTTTTGGCATTTGGATTAAAAATCTTCGCTGCACACGTTCTGCATTGAATCGACATTTTATCAACCATAAGTTTACATCAAATGTTTTTCGGCCTTGTTCTAGCTTTCCTGATAGAGCAGGGCTGTTATTCTATTTAAGTATTTTTTGTGAACATGTGAATGGCTAAATGGAAATTTCGATAACAATAATCGAGTGTGTAGCCCGAGAAAATATTTGAACTTGTGATGTCGAACTTATATTGTATTATATTTATTAAAATTATATAATAGTTATAATATAAAATGCTATTATGTTTTTTTTTTGTTTAATTTTAGTAGCAGGTTACCAATACATAATTGAATAAATATTGTATGAAAAAACAAATAAAAAAAATGCGGCTAATGGTTTATTCATCTATTTCTTCAATAATAGAATCGGGAAAATCAAAGTCTATATCTTCATCGCTGACCGAAGTCATTTCCGTGTCATCAAAATCATATTTTACCATCTGATTAACTCTTTTTAGATGGAACTTTGTAAGGTAATGATTTCTTAGATATTGTGCTCCCTTAAAGGACTTGTTGCACGTTTTGCAGCTAAAAAAAGAATAATAATAATATATAAAAGACGTTAAAGTGATGTTTAATAATATATACCTATAAGTCTCTTCTCCAGTGATATGCACTAGTTTGTGCTTTTCCAGGCTTATTTTGCTTATAAACGTTCTGGTGCAAAGGTTGCACTCGAAAGGTAATTCGTTGGCATGATATTTTCTAAATTTGTATTTGAATTAACAAATTAGTCAAATGACAAAAGAGATACGTTGTGTTTTACTCACCGCTCATGCCGGCAACGACTGGGACTGTTGCGGAATCCCATGCCGCAGTATTTACATACGAAAGGCTTCTCGCCTTTGTGATGCACTCGTATATGAAGCAATAATAATGGCCGGGTGAAAAATTTACTGCCACACTCCTGACATTCAAATTTTTTTACTCCCGAGTGTCGCAATGCATGATCCTTCAAGTTGCTCAAATCACGGAAGACCCATCCGCACTTGTCACAAACATACTTCTTCTCTTCTGGCGGGAGCCTATTTCTATTTAGTTTGCTTACTTCATCATGGTGTGGAGCTGGTTGATATTTTTGTTGTACACCTGGTTTAATTATTCTCTTCGACGGCCTTGGAGCTATAGATGCCGTTGGCCGAACTGTCATATACCTTGATCCTGTAGCAGGATGTGACGCTGACCCCAACGGATGCATTCTATTCTTTGGCGGGATTGTATGCACTGATTTTGCGGGCTGGGTTGCTGCTTGGCGTGGTGTACGTGGATCTCGACAACGCACAAGTCGTACTCGAGGCGATAGATGGCTTGGAGTCGACAGTTTGTTTCGTCCTTCCATCTTTAGTTTGCCTTCTTTTTGAATTGATACTGTACTATTTTCGGGGTTGTCAACTGTGTCGTTGAATTTATGTTTAAATTTAATTGCATCTTCACTAAGATCCTGGTCATCCAATGGATCGATCTGGCTGGAGTGTAATGGAAACGCTTCGGTTTTATTGACTCCTTCTTTCTTTACGGTCGCCAGTTGCTTTTCCGACTCTAAGCAGCGCTCTCGAAAGGCCATTGAATGGCTTAAGTCCAAATAACAGCAGGAACATATATGGCTGGGCAAGCACGGATCATAAAACAACTGAAAAAAATTGTTTGTTCAAAAACGCTTTGTGCAATAAAAAGACGCCGGCGCGGAATAAAGCGGTTTACCTTAATGCCAGTAATTGCGAGGAGGTTGTGCCGAATATCTTCATTTTCATGACTAAAAATGTTTCTGGGTTTCAGATTGAAAATCGGTTCCCTACAAGTTCTACAGTGAATTGACATTTCGCTGCAATAATTCTTAAAATGTATTCCGTAAACAAAGTTAAAATTCTGGAAGTGTGCACACGTGAATGTCACTAAAATGCACTAAAAATGCCATTCACCCAAAAATGCTGGAATTTTAAAATATGCAATTAATTTGTCATAAATTATAAAAAACAGTATCAACTGATAATGCTAACAGCAATTTAAAATGTAAGCTTTTATTCTTATTAGTTGTATTCTAAATTATATTTAAGAAATAATAGCAAGGCTAATGCACTTCTATGCTGGTATCTTGTTTCGTTGCCTATTTAAATATTGTGAATGACCTGTGTGCACCTACGAATTTTGGAAACAGCTGTAAAATACGACTGTCAGCTGTGGACTACGTACGCATTTGTTATTTGCGCGGAAATGAAAAACAATCGTCTTTTAAAAAGTAGATATGCATTTTGTTTTTAATTAAACACACGATGAATGACTTGCGCACACTTTGCCGTACTTGTGGCACAACAATAAATAAGGAGCTCGACACAAGGCTTTTTGAGGAATTCAGCTACCATTTAGTAACTTTAATCGAAGACATAACCGACATGTTGGTAAGTAATATTTCTTCTTTTTTTAGCTTTTCTTTATTTAAACATTTTCAGATTGAAGATGATAACAGCCTGCCGGAGCACATTTGCATTAGCTGCAAATCCATATTGGATCAAATTGTAAAGTTTCGTGCGAGCTGCCTTGATACTCATAAGAAACTATTGGCGGAAAAAGTAAAGATCATTAATAGCACAACAGATGTGGAAACAGTGTTAGCTTTCGACAAAATAAGTGTTATAAAAGAAAGTTACAATAGCCATGATGAACTACAACAGGCAAAAATAAAAGAATCAGAGACTCCCCTAAAAAGTACGCCTCTCTTTAAGTGCAAGAAAATAAACAAACCCGAGAAAACCAAAGACAGGCGCACAAGAACAAAAACATGGATTTGCGAACAGTGTGGCGGAGAATTTAGATGCTCCACATATTTAAAATTACATATGTTGCGTCACACAGGCACAAAGGAATTCGAATGTGACATTTGTAAGAGCAGATACTATACCAAAAACGAGATGCAGCGCCATAAGATCTTGCACACGAACGCAAGACCATATTCGTGTCGTTTTTGTAACAAAACATTTCGGGGCACGAGCAGCAAAGCAGTTCATGAAAGGTTTTATTAAACATATTTTGAAATCTACAAGCTAATTCATTTTTCATTGTTGCAGGACTCATACGAACGAAAGGCCATTTGCTTGCCAATATTGTGATAAAACCTTTACATCCACTTCAGTTCGAAAAATGCACGAGCGCGTGCATGTGAATCATCGAAACTATCAGTACGTACTTAATTATATTTAACAGGGTATATTCTTAACTTATTTGTTTTTCAGCTGTGAACCGTGCGACCAATGGTTTTTACGACCTTCACATTTGTTATTACATCAACGCACCAAACTGCATAAGAGTAAAACTAATAGTGACTAGATGCCTTATATCTCTTGCCTGTTCGAAAATTTTGTTTTCATATTATTATTTGATATTTAAAAATAATATATTAAAAAAAAATAATTATATTCACAATGGACTGCATTGCAACAATTGCTTCTGTGTGAATGACACTGAACAGCTGTTTTAATTTTGTGTGAATGTTCTTTTATCCAGTCAATTTACTCTCAAAGGAGCGTACGCTGTTCTTACAGCGAAAAATATAAAAAATTAATAAAAATAAATTAATTGGTTGTCTCGATTGTAACCACATAAAATATTGCAATCTGAAGAAAATAATAATTGTTTCAAATATTGACCATCAAACACAAGCATACCGCATTTACATGCTTGTCGGCTGTAAAGCGGGAATTTTTAATTTGCATAATTCTTCGCCAAAAAATTGTCAACATGATCAGAAGCCGTGGTATTCATCGCAAGAAGTGTCTTCGCTTTAAAAATGAGGATAAGTCACGGCTTATAGCCGCTGTGAGGGTCAGGCGTCTACTCTGGGATCTGAAACACAGTGAACACAACGATCTTATAAGTATTAAGGCGGCTTGGCAATCGGTGGCTGCCGAACTGCGCCGAGACCGTAAGTTTTCAATTTAAGCTAGTTGGATAGTATAAATTTGGATTAACTTCTCTATAAACAGCACAGGAATGTAAGGTCGCTTGGCGCTCGTTGCGCCAGAGCTACCGCTACCACTGCAAGACGGCATATACACGCATTGGTGAGGACTATGAAGGCGAAACCGATCCGCTAGAAACCCCGGAGATTCAATGGGAGTTTGCCGATGATATGGCTTTCCTACAGGATTTGACAAGGAAGAGAAAGTATGTATTTGTTTTACTGATTCCAACTGAAACTCATTTAACCTAAAACTCTTTAGCCCATCTTCGGACTCGGTTCAATTGGACGATACTACTACGACCAACACTGAATTGGATGATTACAACGAGTATACTGATGCTGAATACTTGGACATCGCTTACGAAATTCATAACGGTGATGACAATGACGACGCCGACATCGACGACATCGACGACAACAATGATGATGTTGAAGATGATGCTAACGTGGTTTCATTGACTAGAGCGTCACAATTCGCATATGTATGTTACACACTTGTGCCTATATTTGATCGCATATCTAAAGGTCGGTTCTTTACAGAAGATAAAACATCCAAAGAATCCAAGGCCAGTTGTATGCAGGACATGCGCGCAAACAATAGACTCTCGCACCGCAAAGAATTTATTTAAACCAGAAAACCATGAGCTTCTGTGCGAAATCAAAGAGCTTACAGATCTGATTGTAAGTAGAGCTGTGCTGAAATGCGTTTTATGATAGGTTAAATTGTTCATGATTGCTTCCAGCTGAAACAAGATGAAGAATTTTCGGACCTTATTTGCGGAGACTGCCAACACAGTCTAGAGATTGCTTTTAAGTTTCGCAGAGTTTGCATTGAGTCACAGACACAAGCCCTAATCAAAGTACAAGTTAAGGACGAGGAGATCGAACAAGAAACAATGTCATATTCAGAGTCCACTATGCCACACAGTCCCACCAATTCGGAATTACTCATAGAAGAAGAACGATTAGAAGAAATCGACAATTCCGATGATGAAAAATATTATGAAGCAGTAGACGTTCAACCCTTAGTATCAACACCATCGCCGCCATCTCCAATGTCTAAAAAGAAAATCAAAAGGGAGCCAAGAAACCACAAATACCAGTGTCATCAGTGTGGATTGACATTTACTAGTCAGGATTTACTAAAGATGCATATGCATCAGTCTCATGACATGCAACTTCATACTAGGTTTGTTTATATATTTTTTTTTGTATACACATTTTTACATTTAGTAAACATATGATTTTAGATTTGTGTGCAAGCATTGCGGACACGATTTTAAATACTCCGCCCCTCTCGTTGAACATCTAAAGAGCATAGGAGTTTATTTCGGATACAAGTGCGAAGAGTGTGGACAAAAGTTTCATAGTAGGCATTTCCTAAAGAAGCACAAGAGAAGAGTTCATGGACAGGCTGACCAACATATTTGCCACATGTGTGGAAAAAATTTTACCACTGGATTTAATCTTCGAAACCATATTGTTCGTCACTCCGGAACCCGACCCCATAAGTGCAAGTTATGCAGTGCAGCATTTTCTACGACAGCCGAACTGAACAATCACCAGCGCACACACGACAATGTTCGCCCATATCCATGTCGTTATGCATGCGGCAAATCATTTCGGCACTGCAGCAATCGTAGCACACACGAGAGGTGAGTAAAAAAAAAAATCTCGAGATACAGACTCTCATATATAAACGAATGTGTCCACAGAGTACATATGGCTGGCAGTTTGCGTCCTTTTCAATGCGACTATTGCGAAAAGACTTTTGTGACCAAAGGCGATTGCAGGTCCCACCAAATGGTGCATACTATGAGCCGTGATTTTAGGTAGTTTCAGCAAAAAATTTGATCAATATTTGAGCATATTAAAATTTACTTATCAATCCATTTTGCAGCTGTGACATTTGCGAGCAGAGTTTCAAGCTACAGAAGCATTATTTGCAGCATTTGACGACCAAGTCTCATAAAAAGGTCGAGGAGCACATGAAAGCATTGAAGCAAACAGAATCGGTTGCATAAATTTAAGCCTGTTTATAATTATTTACGATCTATTCAAAACTTATTAATTCTGAATTCCCAAAGCAAACAGAAGCTGTGGCGTTAATCTAGCTATGTATATAATCATTTAAGATCTATTGGAAACCTATTATTTTTTAATGTCTATTCATTTTACCTTGGGACTGCAGGAACAATGCGCCCTATTTCACTTAAAGTCTTTGAATATTGTCTTAATTTGAAAAGGAACTAATTAGCTAATGTTACTTAATGAATATCGAAAAGAAAAATATTTGGAAATTTTGAGTATATGTAGAGCATGAAGAGAATTCTGAAAAAGTTGAATATAAGTTGTTAATTTGCTTGCGATTAGACTTTATTATGGGTAAATATGGCTTGATAATATCAGTGCAATTAGTTATTCAGGTCACCCAACCTGTATTTAAAACACCCTAATATTATCAACGATTTTCTCGTTGTCATAAATTTCCTTGGCGTAGCACAGATTGGGATAGTCGAAGGCAGCGCCATAACGGTTCTTGCAGCCCGCGGTGGCCTTCTCTCCGGGAGTGTACACGGGCTGACCGATGATGTTTCTTGTGGCGAAATTACAGGTGAGCACAAAGTGATTGTAGTAATCGCGAGAAAAGCGAACGGCAGCGCAGCCCAAATGGGTGTTCTTCTCGGCCACGGCAATGGTGAACTTGGCCACATTCTTGTTGGGCAGCTCCTCGGGGAAACTGGCAAGAATTTCGGGAGAGCCATTGTTGCGCTCGTTGAACCAGTTCTCAATCTGCTCCTTGATAATTTCGCCATCGGTGTACTCAGACTCGGCGCCGCTGTAACTGAATATGGCATTATTCTGGCCGGCGTATGCGAAGCGTTCGGTGCTGCGGCATTTATCGGGAAGCGATTGGCAAGTCTTCACGTTGAGTAGGGCCAGGTGGGTGAGTTCCTCGCACCATGCCATCTTCGCCATGCGTGAGGCTTTGGGAAGGCCTTCAATCTTGCCGCCGGCGACGGTGTTGCGCAGCTCATTGAACAAGGTGAGTATCAACTTCTGATGGGGCTCAAGCTTAACTTCTCGGACATCCTTTGGGCACCCTTCACTAAAGTTCTGCAGCGGAATAAAATGTAATCGCTTACTTTGGATATCCTTTGACAAGGCTAACAACTTACTCCCTTGTTGTTGCAGGCAATGTGCTTGTCCAAGCATGTGGGCAGAGCACAGTAGTCCACTGCGTTGGCAATTTTTGCCAGAGCACCTAATAGAACCAATACTCCAATCATTGTAATGACTTCTCCAACAGTCGCTACGAACTGAAGTCTAAGCCATTGTGTGGCGTCTATTTATGGGGACGGAACATGTTCTTGCCATTTCAGTTCTCAGCACCAAAACGCATTTTCTAAGACTTTTAATATTATAACAATTGTTTTCTGTAGAATGTCTGTTTTGTTAAAGAGAAGCGTTATTATACCCTGAACCCATTGAGAGTGTTAAAAAAAGGTAAACCGATTTTGTGTAAGTGTTTGTAACAGGCAGTAAATTCAACATATTCCTGGTCACCATCGAAAGTCGAGTCGATCTAGCCATGTCCATCTCGATCTCTGAACCTAGAAACTTAAAATTTGGAACGTAGGTCCTCCTAGTGTCCGGGTAGTATATGTTTAGGGTATTTTCTAGTTGCACTCCCAACTAGAGATTTCTTACTTTATTTAAAGTGTGGAACTCTAAATACTCTTGCAGGCGTATATCATACAAGAACTAGAGAAGCTTAAAAAATATAATGCTCATGGAAAGGTAAAAAATCAATATAATATAGATCTGTAAAAAAATAAGTTAAATATTCAGGATGGTCTAAATCTCATGATTAAGTAACAAAATGTTGCTAAATAGAGAACACATAGGCATCGAGTAGAACTTATTTTTAATAGACAAAATATCAAATATTAAATGCACACAATTGTTGGGGTTTAAGTATATTAAGTTATATATTATTGCAAGCGAAAGACGTTTCGATTTCGCCGGGGGCACTAATGATCACCAATTCCGTTGCCATTTTGCTTGGCGTCATTGCCCGAGGCAATGAACGAGGTGACATCCAGCTTAGTGGCCAGTGCCAGGATCGTATCCTTCGCATCGGCAGCCTTTTTAATGATTAGAACACTGGGATCGACCTCTAGCACACGTGCTAGCTTGCCAAGTATTTCAGTCTCAAGCAAGCGAATGATTCGCTTGTTAAGGGCCTTAATCACCGGCTCATTCAACTGGCGATTCATGCTGACAATCTGATTCATGAGTGTCTCCTGAGTCACAACGCCCAGCACGCTGCTGCAAAGAGATCATGTGAGATTAGGACGATGAGAAGCTGATTGTTTGTAATGTAACATACCCATCCTTCTGGTCGACCATGGCCAGCTGGTCCACATGGTGTTTCTTCATAAGCGCAATGGCATCCCCAAAACTGGTGTCCGACTTAAGCAGAGCAATTGGCTTAGGCAGCTGTAGCTGCGATATGGGCACATTCCACCACCAGTGTCCATGTTCATTGACTGGCTGCTTGAAGCCACGGGCTTCCATCCAATTGTCGGATACAAACTTGGTCATATAGTTGCGAATTCCATCGGGTAGTATAACCACACAACGCTGGCCGGGCTTAAGGGTGCGTGCATGCTCCAGAGCTGCATGCATTGCGGCACCGCTGGAGCCGCCGCAGAGCAGACCCTCCTCGGCATTGAGGCGACGACTCATGGGGAAGCAGTCGGCATCGTAGACCTTCGTCCATACATCGACTACTTTTTCGTCAAAGACAGTGGGTGGAAAGTCATAGCCAATGCCCTCCACCTCATAAAACTGTACATCAGTCTTGTTTAGCTCTGGTGGACTCGCCAGTACCGATCCAAACGGATCGACGCCCACAACTCGACAATTGGGAGCTTGCTCCTTGATTTTGCGTCCAATACCGCTAATGGTGCCCGCAGTACCAGCTGCGCAAATAATCATATCCACCTTATTATCCATCTGCCAGAGTATTTCGGCGGCCGTGCCATCATAGTGGGCCAGCGGATTGCCGGCATTGCGATACTGATCCAGCACAATAGAGTTGGGCGTCTGGCGCTGCAGCTGCTGTGCCACATAGATGAGTCCCTCCGGCGAATCGTACGCCGCCTCAGTGGGCGTGCGTATTATCGTGGCGCCCAGTGTACGCAGTGCAGAAACCTTCTCATTGGACATCTTCTCGGGCATGACAATGATGCACTTGTAGCCCTTTACGGCACTTGCCATGGCCAGACCAATGCCCGTATTGCCGGATGTCGGCTCAATGATGGTGTAACCCGGTTTCAGTAGTCCTTTTTCCTCTGCATCCTGAACCATGCGATAGCCAATACGATCCTTGACCGAACCACCCGGATTCAAGAACTCGCATTTGGCATCTAATTGAACACAACAAAAATAAGTATACTTTGGCAAATGACTGTTAAATGAGATTAACGAAATATAATTAGAGGAAACACACAATTTATAAACATGAGATAGTGAAAGTTAATCAGTCGCAATTATGAAACATGTGCTCGTGCAAAAATTACAAAAAAAAAAGCTATATGAAAATACGCGCATCGGAATAGATTAACACAATTGGAAAAAGTATACTAAACATTGAAAGAATTGACAATTAATCATTTTCGCTTGTCTGGCAAAATACAAATCCCTTCATACTCACACATCTCACACTGGATGCCCTCCTTGGCGGGTATACTATTGAGCCTGACCATGGGCGTGCTGCCGATCACTGTCAAGATATCCGGTGAGATCTTCCCGTGGCGCGGCATGTCACGCTGCGTATGGGGCGTCTGCTCCTTGGTGCCCAGATGCCAGGTGCATTTCGAGGGCTGGCCAGGATCTATAAAGTCGGCCGGACGCTCGTAAGTCTTATTCGCTGACATTGCTGTGGATTAGTTACGAGACGAATGAGTCAATGTGCCGTTGCGTATTCCGTGCTGTTCCGCTGCCTGCTCGCAATTAAATAATTCGTTCAATGAGTTGTTTGTTTGGCTCACACCATCTGGCAGAATGCCCGGGGTCAGGCAGTCGCTGAACCCATCTCGCCTTATCGGCCCTTCTTGTCTGCTGTCTCATTGTAGTTTATTATGAAATTGAAATTTGGGCTTTGATATGTATAGAAAACCACGTTGTGCCTGGCATTGTTACCAAGTCATCTTGGCAGCAAAACCACAAGACTCGTATCTTTTCCTGTTCAAGTTAACTCCAATTGGCGTAGAGAGGTTGTTCGGCTAGTTTTTCCTTGCAACAGGTTTTTCTCTACACCAAGTTAACCGGCAATGGAATATGGGTACATACTTCCCGTTGCAGTGCGAGTGCATTGAACTCGGCAAGCCGGAAAATTTCTCTTATCAATAGTTACACACATACACACACACACACACATACATGGCATACAAGCCAACTTTTGCACATTTGTGTTTGTTATCCACTTAATACTTTGATCATATATCTATATTTGTATATACTTAATGCTCTATTTTACAATGTTCATATACGGTTTTTATCATTTCGGGTTTTTGTTCTCACCTGTTTATGGCAGCACTTACCGTATCTATAAATTGTAATTGCTCACAAAACTGAAATATGCAGCTACCAAATCACAGTCAATAATTTGGTTAAAAAAATACACGTGAAAGATAGCACTGCGTTGTTGTTGCTCCAAGTAGATCCGTGTCTACTCTGGCGAACATATGTATATAAATGCGCATTTATATATGTAGCCACGCTAGTGAGGTAGTGCTGCAAAGTGTGAGCTGAGTGTTGGTAAATGTTCAACTCCGCTAAAAGGAGTTGATTGAGCATTTAGTGTATTGGATATATATTGAATGTGCACATGTGCATGTATATATATAAATTGCTTATATATTGCAATCAATTTTCTATTTTGTTTGGCATGTTTTGATCAATACACGTCATGCTTTTAAAATAAATAAGTTAATATTTAACGGCCGTTAAACGGCAACAGCAAAAGCTTGCGAGTTCTTGTGGTTTGTGTCTGGGCTAAAGTATCTAAAAGATGTGCAGTTGATCCTTTGGAATAACTAACAGTCTGGTATGTTCAATAAATCTCGACAAATCTTTTCATTTTGATTTACGCAAGGCTAGTTTACATATCTAACAGTCAACAACAAATGTATTATATGGATAAGAATAGGGTATATTGATATTATAATTTTTTAATGTTTCTGTCTGTATTAGAGAACCTTAACATACGGTAGAGTTGTTCTGGGTATCAAAATAAAATATTAAGTCATCAATAATATATAATCTTTGTTAAAAAATTAAGAAAATTAAGTAAATACAACCTTTTCGCGTTCTAGACTCAGTTTTAATGTAAGAATTTAATATTGTCTTAGTCGAATACCATAATCTTATTCGCAATATTATTTTTCATATTCTTTTAAACTACATTCGAGTATTTAAAATCTTAACCCAATGTCTTTATTACTATCAGATGGTTATGAAATTGAATTGTTGCATTGATTTCTTCGCCAAGCTCAGGATACATTTAATCCTCCCCTTCAATAAATAGACTGGGTATAATGTTTTCTTTATCACTTTCAAACCGAAAGTGATAAGAGCTACTTCAGATTCGTCTTTACCGGTAGAAAAAATTAGGAAAGCGTGTTGTTGACGTACATCACGCGAGCTTATCAGATTTAAAATGCTTCACTTATCACTTAGCTCGCTTTCAGGCCTCAATGAATTGTTTGTACATAAATAAATTTTTATAGATCCACGGCTAGTCAATAAAATAATAAAAATTTATAATGGCACAGCCCCCTTGATATTTGCTTTTGAAAAACATGCACTTGATTCTATTACTTAAAAGGCAATTATAAAGTATCCAGCATTATGTGCTTTAGTTATCTCAGTAAATGTTTAGATAGCAATACAAATTAAATGAGCCCTTCGAATTGGTTTATGATTTTAATAATTGGCTCATTAATATATTTGCGCACCTCCCAGTTAGTGGCAAAATCGCCGTGATTCCACATGGGATCCTCCATATGATGCATTTCCTTGTTGGGCAATGTTTCAGCCAAACGCAAGACATCCCCAACATCGGCCATATCATCGTTATCCGAGTACCACAAATGTGTGCTACACGTAATTAGATTGGTTGGGTAATCCGGCGGCACTTCCGCATTGTATTCCATCCAATTCCTCTTGGTACCAAAGTCGTAGCGCCTAAAGTGTCCGGACTGTTGCTCCTGTAGGTAGTGCAAGAACTGATTGGTGGATACTCCGGCGGGAGTTGTTAAAGCATTGATCGCAACCGCACTCTACGGAGAAAATATATTAAATATGGTATTCCAATTGGTCTCCGTACTGGGGCGAACCGAATTGGAGCGTCCGTCGGTGCTGCTGTTATGAAAGACGCTGCAGAAGTCTCGAAACCTTGAGTCCGGCCCGCATGTGTTATAGATAAAAGACAGTATGAAATCATTGTAGGGTAAGAGCTCCTGTGACTCAAACAGCAGGGCGTAAGTATTGTGATGTCCCAGATAGGGTCCAACCGCTCGCGCCATCAGGCTGTCCATGTTGTTCATGAAGGCAACCGGAGCCAGCAGATGGGCTGTCTTGATTTTCCGATTGTACTCGGGACGCGTGGACATAAGTGCTAGGAAAACGGTTGTTCCTTGCGAGTGGCCCACATAGTGAATGGCTTGTTGTTCCTGTCCGTTTGTTTTCAGTGCATAGTCGATCATAGCCGCAATATCAAAGTAGCCAATCTCATGCCAGCTGAAGCGCCAGAAATATGGATGCTGCGTGGATATCGACGAGTGGTTCCTTGAGTACGTATTGCCCCGTGCATTGCCCAGCCAGACGTCGTAGCCCGCATCGGCCAGCTGAAAGGCCAGAGCATTATCGGGACCCATGGCGATCCAATTGTCGGAGCAGCCCGATATGCCATGCTGCATCAGCACAATGGGACGATACTTTGCCTGATTCTGCAGCTTGTGCGAATGGGGAATGCGAAATAATCCAATTATGTAGCCGTCTTCGGTGGGCACATAATGCAGCTCTCCCGGATATCCGTGCGCTCTAATGCGATCATCCTAAATAGCTTTGTTAGCCTCATATATGGCTTTTGGCCTCTCCACTTCACAGCTTACCGTTTTCAGTCTGGGGTTCAATTTTAAATGTCCGTCCGGATCGTTAAAGAGTTGGAAGAAATCTGCGCCCTCAAAGACACTTGAGTCTAGCCCAGCTGGAGCACTTCGAGCACCTATCCAAATGCATAGAGACGACAAAATAACGATGAGGTTTCTGGCCATGTTGCGGTTGGACTGTGTTCTCTAAATATATAGAACACGCCTTTTAAAGACCTTTGCTGTAGACTTAAGCCTAATCTGCCGATAAGCGACTACCTCTGGACCCTCTCCCGATCCAATGGCATTTGCTAAAATTTAAGTGGATCATTAAACAAATCATTTACAAACACATTCATATTACGGTATAATTATATTCCTGAACCCATTGAAAATGGGTAAAAGGGTATAATGTATTTGTGCAAATGTATGCCCACCAATATAAGCCTCAATTTAAATGCAATTGACTTTTGAGAATACACAAATATTCTATAGCACAATAAGATGTTGTTGTTTGAATACATGTACACACACACATTCATTCTCGTCGCCTTTGAATTATATCAATAGCATTGCAATTGCGATTGAATTGTGTTCTGTGCTGCTATTTTAATTCGTTTTTTTCTCACTAGGGGCCAGTTATTGGTCTTGCTGTTCAGTAGAGGCGGCAGCAAGTAATGCGGTCAGCTACGAGAAAACTTTTTTTAAATTATTTTAATTACAACTAAAGCAAACGAGTACATAGCGAGCCATGCATTTGATTTTGGATTTAGAGAGTTCAGCGTATTCCCAATTCGGCAGCTCCGGGACTGGAACCTCTTACTTGTTTTTCCTAAGATCTATGTATGTAATTTAACAGCGCACTCGAGCCGGAATGCTTTTTATTTGATAGTTCTCGCCGATCTTGAGTACAGCCGCCATGCCCTGGACTGCATGTGATTCGATGTGACAGTGATAGCTCCAGAAACCCGGATTGTCTGAGATGAAGCGCAAAATGACGTAACCCAGTCCAGGCACCTGTACGGTGTCCTTAGCCACGGCTGCATAGTCATCGGACAGACGAGACAGACGTCCACGGCGATCCAGCTCGCGTATCTGTGGAGAGAACAATATTAAAGCTAAGTCTTCTAAAGGTAGATCTGGCTGACTTACATTTCTCAGGTCGCTTAAGCTGCCCAGCACGCCCTGGCCGACCAGGCGGAAGGTGAAGCCATGCAGATGTATAGGATGAGTGGCATCCATGTGGTTGGCCACAACCATTTCGATGGGACGATAGGCGGGCAGGCGTATGACATGCACACATTCGCATACTTCCCGTGCACAATTGCGTCCCTGTGCGGCCAGAGAGCTGCGATTACAAAAGTAGCCATCATCCTGGTACAGATGTCGACCCTGCAGCATTGAGATGCCCGGCGAAATGTAGCTGATCTCGTCGATCTGGAAGAGCTGTTCACCATTCTGTGCCTGCCGCATGCTCAAACTGGAATAATGTGTTAGAAACTTGGTATAGCTTGGCCAAGGAACCGGCTCTACGGAGCGCAGGGACACAGTGCCCACATCTTTGTCCTTATTCGACTTGCGTAGCGCTGATATCGATGCATTCAAGGGCTTGAAACGAAAATCATTGATAAACGTGGCAGGTTCGTCCAACTCCCTGCCCCGTTGATCTTCCATTATGTCACCCAGGGGCAACTCGCTGCGAGCCGCTCCGCGATAGCTGAGCACCGCGCCCTGATATAGTTTACGCTCCTCGCACTGCTCGTAGCCCCGGACGCGTATCCAATAGTTTTTGGCAAACTGATTTGCCTCCAGCACAAAATCAAAGCGTTCCGCTGAGGTCAGAAAGAAGCCATCGGCCAGCACGGGGACAATGTCGTTGCCATCGGTGCTGATGATCAGCAGCTTGTGCTGCTCAATGGAGAACTCCACGGGACAATTGAAGATTCCATTGAGCACAATGCGCATGCGATAGCGATAGCCGGGCGTGACACGCAGACGTTCGTAGCGGTGTCTGGCATCCTGATCCGGCAGCTGGCTCAGATGATTGCGTCCCTTGCCATTGATGAGAATATTGCGCGCCTGCTGGATGTTGTAGTCGTAGAATATATCCTGCACCATGATGGCGTGCTCCACCAGGTCGTAGTCGTAGAGACGCGCATGGGGATTCGCCTGATGTGGCTGTCGCACAATGAGATTGCCCGCCACGCCGAAGCCGCGCTGCCAGCCCAAGTGGCTGTGGTACCAGAGGGTACCGCTGCGATCCGCCTGAAACTCATAGCGATACACCTCGCCCGGCTCCACCGGATACTGGGTGACATGGGCAACGCCATCCATTTCGGGTGAGCGCGACATGTGTATGCCGTGCCAGTGCATCGTACTGGGCTCATTCAGGTAGTTCAGCACGTCCACAACCACGGTATCGTTCTCGCACAGCTCTATAGCCGGGCCGGGCACCATGCGGTTCACGGCCATAACAGGCGAGGAGACGCCATCGCCATAGATGCAATTCTCCGCGGCACAGGCACGCTCATCATACTGACAACGTTGACACTCGGCGCCCAGGCGGCGATAGTTGTGCACCACCAGCTGATAATAGCAGCTCTGCGACTGACCCTGCTGACAGACGCGGCGGCAAGGGTGACGCTCGAAGCCGCTGAAACCGGAGACATCCGCCGGATCGTAGTCGTCCTTTAGCTGCAAGCCCGCGCCCAGATGGGTTGGCTTGTTCGTTCTGTTGTTGCGCGACCAGGGAAATGTGATCCAGTCAATTTTGGTACTCGACTGCTCCAGTTGCGGCTGCAACTGAGCCTGACCCAAGTCCAGGCAGCACCATAGCAAAGTCCCAAGAAGCGCACCGATAAGCTGGCAGCAACGGCTTTTACTTTCACGACCGCACCTGTTCGTGGCAATCATGTCAAGACTCAACCTTCAACTGTGCCCAAAGGCCTAGTGCAACGCCCGAAGAAAGTTTGGAAATCCAAACTGGATGACCACAAATAGTTGGGCATGCTCAGCACGTGCTAATAATAAAAGCTGAGCTGCATTTTATTTGTGTTTAATTGGCCAGAGACTAAGAACGCCTGTCGCAATCGTATCCGACTGTTCGACACTCTTTATAATACACTAGCTGGTATTTTTCGTACTTTTCCGCTCTTTCGCACAAAATAAGCTGAAATTGTTGTCAGTTAACTAACTATAAAAATTATATTTAATTTATTTGTGAATTAATATGAAAATTGCTGATGAATTATTTTAATAGCTGTTCAAAAATTTAGGCTTCGCCTTGTGGTGTTGGCGGGCTGGTGGGCGGAGGGGATCCGCTCGAGGCTGTGTTGGATGTGCTCATCAGACTGATGACCCCACATGCGATGGGCGCACCCACTGACATCTCCTCGTTCTGATATGCCAACGCATTGGGCACCGTCAGCGCGGATGAGAAGACCTCCGCATTGAGCGCCGTGTTCAAATCGATTGGCTTACTGTGTATGACCACGGAGCGGCCGACGATGCCATTAAAGCCGAACAGCTGCAGGTAAATGCTCATGAATACGGCCGATATGCTGCCGTCTGCCTTGACATCTAGGTTGCCCAGCTGCCGGAGGGGAAATGTGAATCTCAGAGACAGTTATTATTCAATGGTACTTACGAAATTATTGGGAAACTGGCCGCCAGTTGACTTGCAACCCTCGCTCACGTCGCCGTACGTATGTATGTGCAGCGCATGCTTGCCAGGCGGCAGTCCGGTCACATTGATGGTCACCCGGATGTCGCTGTTGTAGGGCAGCTGCTGGAAGCTGATCATGCCGGCGGCAGACGCCGACTCGCCCTCGCCCATGAGCTTGGCGCCCGCCTGCCACTGTGGTACCTGTAGAGAAGCACTTGTCAATGGCCGTCGCAATGAAAAGAGCGAAGACCTACATAGGCGTAGCCCAGGTATGCCGGCTGTGGATGCAATAGCGGACTGAGCAGCGCGGCAGCGCCAATGCCACCAATCACCGGACCAATGCCGCCCAGCGGCACGGTCATGCGCTCGTAGCGCTTCACCTTTGTGCCAGACACCACTTTGATGTCATCGATGCCCGTCAGATTGGCGGGCCTGAGGCGATCCAGCAAATTTTGTGCGCTGCCAGGCACAAAAATGCCATTTAATAGCATAAACGCCAGAATGGGCTTGTAGCGGAACATTTCGGTTAATTGCTTTAAACTGTTTTTGAGGATTTGTAATGTGACTGGGGGTAGAAGCTTCCGTTCTCTGTGAATATTTTGACCAAACTGAACTGGACGCTCTGTGGGCCCGTCTATATCGTTTGTCGTTTGGTTGACTTCGACACGGATTTCATGCTGATTGAACACGTTAATTGCCACACAGGCCATATCACCAGAATGGATGATGAGTAGATTGTGCCGCTGCTCAATGGCAATCAAGTGTCGCGTGTTTGATGCTTGGCTACCTACCTACCCATGGACGTAGGCTCTACCACTTGCTGCCAAAGCCAAAGCCAAACTACCAAATATGTCAAAAGACACCTTTTCAGTTTTTAACTTGAAATTATTTTCCAAGTTGAATTATTTTTTCTAAATTTACCTTTTGATAATTAATAAATTGATGGTTAAATTAATTTTGTAGCAGAAAAATCCTCGACAAACAAAAATTTTAAAGAGAATAATCTTAAAAACTTTTTCCCCTCTTATTAGCTAAGGTGTCAAAACACCTTTCGGTTGACATAGGTATGCACAAAACCTTGCTGGAAATAGTGTTGATTAATATTAAACCCCAAAAAAGATAACATTTACGTTCTATTTTAGAGATATTTGCACAACTTGTACCCCTTTTGAGCCCAGTTAGGGACGTCTCTGCCTGATGGGCTTACAATTTGGGAGGGCAAACCGAATAAAATGCAAAATTAGATCGACATTAATAAAATTGAAAGTGAAAAAGCTAACCTCAGAGATTAAACGACATGCGAGATTTTTGTTCTAGATGACATAGTTTTTATTTTTAATTGCTTCCCATTAACAATCAACATTTGGATTCATTTATGTTGGACAAGTAGGGAAAACAAAAACTATGAAATGTTCTAATATAAATAAATATCAATTTTGGTAGTTATTAATGACCGCACGCCGAAATTGACACTGCAATGCGGTCGTCTATTTAGCTTAACGGAAATCACCGCGTTGATAGTCGCCCTGGTGACGTTGATTGTAGCCGCCGCCGCGTCCGCCGCCGTGGTAGCCGCCACCGCCGCCGTGGTAGCCGCCGCCGCTGCCGCCGCCACCTCCGCCGCGTGCCCCAGCCTGAGGATTCCAGCCAGAGCCCTGGACACGTCCGCTGTTGTTAGTCCATTGCTCTCGTTGCTGCTGTTGTTGATGTTGGTACGGCTGCTGGTTTTGCTGTTGTTGCCAGTTTGGAGCTCCACCACCACCGCGTCCACCACCTTGTCCGCCACCGCGACCACCTCCTTGTCCGCCACCGCGTCCGCCACGGAAGTTGCCACCACCACCGCGGCCTCCGCCACCACCACCAGGTCCGCCGGCACGTTGCTGTTGCCAGGAAGGCATCTCTGGCGGCGGTGGCGCGTGCTCATTGGCGCGTCCACCGCGATCCGGCACATTGCCAATCACATGTTTTTCTATCTTCGAAGCCGTATTCTTGCGCACATTCGCTGAGCTCGTCTTCTCAATAATCGCCAAATCCGCGCGCGCCGCCAGCAGCGCCACAATGTTGGTATCATCTCCGCCAAACTGGAGCTTCTCAATCTCCTTGAGTTTACGCTGAAAACGATCTCCAATCTCGCCCTGTCGCTTCCTCATGCTCTCGGACCATTGAAAACTTTGAACTGTCGCTTCCAAGCGCGTTAGCATCATTTGTCGCCGCAGATTGTACTCCGCATCCAGATCTCTGTGCATGCTCTCCAAGACACGCCACTGAGCATCAGTCAAGGGTTTATTTGTACGCATCAACGGCTCACTGATCACCGCCGGGCTTGTCTGCTTCAGTCGCTGTTCCAGTTTAGGCGTTAGACGCTCGAACAATTGCTTTGCATTGATGTTTTTTGGCAGCTCGCCGAGCTGCAGGTCTGCCGTCAGCTGTGTCACTGTCTCCTGTAGGTGCGACTCAGTTTTGGATTTTTTACTGGGCGGCTCGGCGGGCTGCAGCTTCAGCGACATCTTTGTGGCCATGAGCTCCGAGGTGAGGTAATCTAGTAGATGCAGCAGTGAGGTGCGCGTTTGGAAACGTTCCGACATGGGCACCGCTACAAACTGCCGGTACGGGCAACCCAGCTCAGTTAATAGCAGCGATAGCTCGAATGCAAATTCGTTGTGATCCTTGCTGCTAGAGGCTACATGCTCGTCGGTCTTCCGCAGCACATGCAATTGATTGGCTAGCCAATAAATCAGTTCGCGCAAGTCTCCGCTGCCAATGCCGCTGTCTAGGGCTTGGCACAGAGTTTCCTGCTCCACTTTTTTGTACCCAAGTGCATGCAAAGAATCTATAATATCTAATTCGAGATCCATTGCCGGCTGTTTTCTTTCCTTATTTTCCGGTTGTTTTCGTTTTTTCTCCGGCTGCCAATTAAAGTTTTTTGGTCACACTAGTTCATATGTCATACTTAACAGAGGCTATACATTACATTTTATCAACTGTTATTAACACCGGCTCTTGCTGTTAACCCGGTTAATAATTTGAAAGAAACCCGGCAACTTATTTTTATTTATTTATTTAATGTGTGGTTGTTTAGTGTATGTCCCATACATAAAGAAGGTCCCAATAGGTTAGGTTTTTTGCTGAACCTATCTAGTTTTGCATTAAATTGCCAAATAAATTAAATAATTTACAAATACCATGCTAACAGTGCCAAAATAAGTAGAATATTGATACGACATAGATACAAGTATATTTCGACAGGCCATCTAATTCAAAATGAATTAATGAATAAACATATAATATAGAGGTATTAATATGATAAAATACTTTCACTACATTGTAAAACAAAAGTCCGTATATATAACAAAACATAAAAAGTCATGTCTCCATGAAAATTTTGTATTGTAGGTGCAACTTCAACCGTTAATCATAGATATACAGTACAGTAACAGATTAATTTGTATGATTCTGCATTAAAATTTATTGACAGTATTGCTTAAAAACATTAATAGATAAACCAAGTTTAAAAGAAACACACGTCGTGTTTTAGGGGCCATTGATGACACAAAGGTAACAGAAACGAACTAGTTCAACTAGTTGGATTTCTTCGTTCGTTCAGCCAGTCGCTCAATTGAACATATTCATTCCGAACATTTCGATACTACTCTAGCAACTAATTATACTTGAGTGAGAATATTAATTAAAAAGCTAATATTGCTTTAAACATTGTGTGCCATTAATAGGTAAAAAGAATTGTAAAGTTAATACATTAATTGAAAATGTGCACGATTCAAATGTACAATGTAAAGGATTCCAGATTGAGATTTACGCCCAATTTGGCAAGACCTGTGTTGTTGTTGTTGGCTTCAAACACAAATACCAGTGTTGGCCAGTTTAGCTAACATCACAAGCTAAATTGAGAGAAAATCACATGAAACTATAGTCAAGTAACCGGATTCAGCATGAAAATGGCTGAATTATCAACACTGATCAACACTGAAGAGACACTTTTCTGATATTTTGTTTGCCGTTTTCAGTGAGCTAAAAACGTTGAACGCGTACGTAGACATTGATTGAGGCGAGCTGCAACAAGTGAAAGCCAATTACCAGAAATGCCGCCCGTTCAGTAAGCGAACCAGCAGAACATTTAATTTCATTGAATTGAATATTAACGACATTACATCATCATAACGCCCAAGTGTGGTCCAGTGCAAAATGTGACCCAAATATTCGCTGGCTTCATTCATTTATTTGATCAAGGTGCTGCAAAATCAAATTGATTAAGAAACTCAACGTAAAACGCACTTTAAAATGCAATTATGCGTATCATTATGTTATTCGTATCTGTGAAGCATCTGCAGGGTGTTTTTTGTCCGCACAAGTTGCATTTTTCGTGGTATTAAAGCACCAGATGTTTACTCCATCGATGACGTCATGGCAACATTCAAATTTATTTATAGACGCCGCCGCCGCACATTTCAGTATCTGTGTGCTGTTTACCTATTGCAATATGTGTGCGTGTGTTTGTGTGTGCGCGTCTTGAGTCTGTTGCTGTGGCGCGCAATTCAAATCATGCAAATCCATCAATACTCGATTCCATTTACTGATCCTCCGCACATCCGCAACGTTTAACGACTGCACTTCAACTGTCTACACTCGAACTGCAAAAGCCAAAGCTACTGCCGACTACATTGCCAAACTCAGTTCACAAGGAATGCAGAGCTTTCTGTACATTCGTCAGAAATATGATTCAGCAACGTCAACAATGCTTGTTCGCTTACGTGATAAGCCAGCCACGCAAAGTGTTTGTCCCCCAAACGTCTCCGTTTCCAGTTGCCTTTCTCATACGCTGCCCTACAGTTGTGCGCTTAAGCCCCATCATCATGATGTACTCCAAAGCTGAAGTGTAACTGCTTGCTAATCGAGTGTGCCCCCTATATTATAATTATGCTAATCTTCAACTGTTCTTTTGTGACCTTGCAGAGTCCAGGCCATCAACATGTCGCTGGGTGCAATGCATTGCACGAGATGCGCCGACGGTTTCGAGCCCACCGAAAAGATTGTCAATTCCAACGGCGAGCTTTGGCATACGCAGTGCTTTGTGTAAGTTCACAATGTATACTCCCGGTATAGTAAACTGTCATCATAAGGAATATATATGACGAAACTGAAAGCGTGTTAAAAAATATGTAGATTTGTGTCTATAGGTAAGAAAGAAAAGAGATGCCCGCCCTTAACAACTGGGCGTTAGTAAAGCTTTTACTATATTTTATCTTTTATCATGGGAGAAGTTACAAATGCAATTAGTTAACTGTAATATAATTAAAAGTCAATCTCTAATTCGTTTGTCTACTTGCCTTTTCACAGCTGCGCTCAGTGCTTCCGTCCGTTTCAGGATGGCATTTTTTACGAGTTCGAGGGACGCAAGTACTGTGAACGGGACTTCCATGTGCTATTTGCGCCCTGCTGCAACAAGTGCGGCGAATTCGTTATCGGGCGTGTTATCAAGGCCATGTCCGCCAGCTGGCATCCGCAATGCTTCCGCTGTCAGCTGTGCGCCAAAGAGTTGGCCGACAGTGGCTTCATACGCAACCAGAATCGTGCGCTATGCCATGAATGCAATGCCAAGGTGAAGGCCGAGATAACAGGTCGTTATGTGTGCCAAAAGTGTCAGTAAGTGGACGTGTTTTAAAATATTTTTGGAACTGCATACTAATCCACAAATCAACAGCGGATTGATTGACGAGGAACCGTTGCGCTTCCGGGGCGAAGTCTATCATGGCTATCACTTCAATTGCTCGGCCTGCGGCATAGAATTGGATGCCACAGCGCGCGAGGTCAAGAGTCGCCCGGGCCTGGCCGCAAACGATATGGTGGATATATAGCAATGCTTGCAATTTGATAATTTTAAATAGTATATACATATTTTCATTTGAACAGAACGAACTGTATTGTCTACGCTGTCATGATAAGATGGGCATTCCCATTTGCGGCGCCTGTCGTCGACCAATTGAGGAGCGTGTGGTTACAGCGTTGGGCAAGCACTGGCACGTCGAGCATTTCGTGTGCGCCAAGTGCGAGAAGCCCTTCCTGGGTCATCGTCACTACGAGAAGCGCGGCCTGGCATACTGCGAAACGCATTATCATCAGCTCTTTGGCAATCTGTGCTTTGTGTGCAACCAGGTCATTGGCGGAGATGGTATGTTAACTTCTGCAGCAGTATCCCCCATTCGTACATCCATAAATTACATCTTAATTGTTTTCCCTCTAGTTTTTACCGCTTTAAACAAGGCGTGGTGCGTGCATCATTTTGCCTGCTCCGTGTGCGATACGAAAATGACGCAGAAATCAAAATTCTACGAGTACGATGAGAAGCCGGTGTGCAAGAAATGCTACGAACGGTTTCCCAACGAGCTGCGACGGCGCTTGCGCACCGCACACGAGATGACCATGAAGAAGAATGTCTAGTGGATGAGCTGCAGCCTCGAACTGGCCAGCCTTCCATCACACAAATCTACACCAAAACGTGTTAAGTCAAAGTGCCTTCTGTCGTTCAGCACAAACGACCACTTAGTTCTCTGTTTGTAGTTGTCCACTTCTAACATTCGATGTTAATTCTCGAAACTAAAAACTTGTGCCTTTCTTCACATTTCTGTAACATTGTAATTTTTGTTGTACTTGGTCATTTCTAAACAAAAGCGTGTACCGTTTTGATATCGCTTATCTTTTAATTGTAGCTGTTAACAACGGCAAGCATAACAAAACAAATTATTGTATTGACAGCTGTTATCTAATTGAATTTTATTTATATACATAAATGTTTTGAAAATAAAAAGAAAATTTAAAAAGCATGCGAACCTAACTGGTATTTGTTTTTTCAGTTATTTTATTTATATATCTCACTTTTCATAGGCAATAAGCAAAGGTCGCAAAACTCATAGCAAAGACAAGAACCAGTTATGTTAACGCAAATGCGAGTCGCTAACGCAATGTTCAGCTTCTGTTAAACTTGATTATATATCGAATTTGAATATCGACTGTTATGCTAGCTGTTAAGGGAGTTTTAACATTTTTTTTTTAAAATAACGAACAGATTAATTTGATAAAATTTATTGCATTTCGGAGAGTAAACGTAAACTATCATAATGTAAAAAATACATTTTATTTTAAAACATTATCTAGAGATATAATTGTCTAATGTTAAAGTAACAGTGCTAAGCATTTCTGTGTTGAGAATTTGTAGAATACAAATAGTTAAAGAAGCTATTTTTATTCTTTACATAAGTTGGTAGTATAATTATAATGGAGTACGGTTCGTTACACTATTCGTAACCATTTTAGTTAAGTTTGGTTTTGTCTTTATAGCCTTTGGGTACATCTACCTATTTTCAATGACTTAAGCCATTATTTTTCCTGCACATTTTTCTTCGTCTCTCTGACCTCGGCGCATAGTTAATAATTTTATTGATAATTGACCTGCCTTAGACCTGCAGCAATTGGCAATGCGATGTCTTTATTCGTTCTGGCCGCATTCAGTTGCAATTTATAGCGTGCATTACGGCAGACAGTTTAATTGAGCATCGACGTTTATTAATTTGTCCCGGGTCCAAGCGGAGTTGGCTGCAATTTATCCAAATCCCTTGGACTCATTGCATTTCAACACGTTAGGCAGTTTCACTTTTTCGACTGCCCCAATGAGCCCAAAAAAAAAAGGCTACGCACATTAATTAGGGCCCTTCATTAGACACATGCCCATCAAGGCAGGGCAGGGCAGGGACCAGGTCCAGGATCCGACCCAGCAATGACGAGTGCGCCGGCGGCCATGTCCAGAGACGCAGCTCGTGCATTGTATTGCCAGCTTTATGTAATTAAGCCAGACGCGCTCACAATTTAAATTGCTGCCCGTTTCTTATACGCGTCTCTCT